GTTTGATTGGAGTTTGTTTTCAAAGTTTTTGAAAGGAGATTGAATGTGCGTTTGATTCGAGGTTGATTGTGCTTGTTATTAAAGTTTTGTGTTGATTTTATGAGATTGTTTGAATTCTGAGTGTGGGAGTTTGAAGCTTTGAAGTTGTTGGCACTCCACTGAAAAAATTCCCAGATCACCTTAAACTATAAGTCATAAACTAATTTTCAGAAGAAGATTAACACAGGTTATGAAACACTTGTATTTTAAATTTAGATTTTTGATGCATAATATTAATTGATTATCATGTTCTTACTTATAATGGATTTTTTACCATTTTACCATTTTTTACAACGAAATTTAGTAACGTATTTATATTATGGATAATAAAATTATTTTTGAAATTTTTTATGAAAAAATATCATTACACTCGTTATTTGGGTGGAAAGAAGTCGTTTGCCTCTTATTAGCAATTGTACTGTGATTGGATTTGCGACAATGATTGAGTAACGTAATAGTGGAAATATTTGGATGAAAACTATTGGAGCACTTACATTTGTTGGGTGAGAAAGTAGAGAGCGTCCTTGCCACTGCATTGACAGCGCGTGGGAAAATAACACATCCCAATGTTCAATATGGACTAAGGGGTTCCAAACTCATTTCACCTAAAGTCGGTTCAACCGAAGTAATTAAAACTCTGTCGAGTTTCTCCTCTTCGTTCCTATTTCTGTTTTTATTATTTTTTGTTCCAAAAAATAGCATCTCAAAACAACGACACTCCAAAAGCAATCGCATTTTTTTCTCTTTAAAGGTAAATCCTCTTCTTAATTATCTTTAATTCACTATTAATTATAATCTCGCGCGAATTCTCTCCTTAATTTTTTTTTTTTTTCACAGTTCTTCTTTCTGATTGAGTAACGACATCGTGTCGATTCTGTTATGGCGATGGCAAATGCATCTGATGAAACCAGAAAAATATGCAGTCACTGGTAATCATATGACTTTGATAGCCTATAAATTATGTGATAACTTGTGATAGCTTATGAATTTGGGAGTTTCTCTATTTTCCTTTTCTTGATCGTGGTTATTTGTTTGTGATTTAAAAAAAAAAAAAAAAAATTTAACATCTAATTTGTTTTCAATGTTTAATTGTTTTCGAGAATTTTTTCTTTTTAATCTATGATTCAGCTCAAGTTTGATATCTATGGAGTGAGTGCTAATAATCCAAAGTCAACTCAATTAAGCTTGACCTAACTAGTTTCTTGGTTTCTTAAACTTCATTTTCTTGGCCTTAATCGGACCTTTTATTTCGTTAGATTTCATGTTTTGGATTCATTACTGGAGGATTATTTTATGTTGCATATGATCTTTGCTTTTTTTATTGTTGATAAGAATTGATGTGTTCATAATTTTACGCAATTAATATGGTAAATACGTTTTATGAATATCATGTTTGTTATGCCCCATCTTTTGCACTAACGCTGATTACAAGGCATGGTTGCTAGATTTGACTCGTTTGTGGCTTTTACAGCATTTCGAGCCTTTGCTAGTGTTTTCTATAATCCTTTGTGGATATATGTTTCTGTTAGTGCAAATAGGGTGCAACGAGACTTGGGGTGACGGTTGATGGTGTTCTTTCAAGATTTTCTTATTTCTTTTTTACCAAAAGGAGGAAGCATGTGAAATTTGATATTGAATGCAATATACAGTTATGTTTTTTATCTGAATTCATAATTGCTTGAGTTCATATTTTTGTCATTTGTGACTATCATGTCAAATATCATGAGCATCTTAGTTCTTCGAATCTCAGTTGAAATAGATGCTAACATTGATGGTGCGGGTCATGTGTTCAACGTATTTTTGGGATTTCTCATGTATTGTTGTTGCCCATTTTGTAAACGTGTTTTTGTGCTTCCATGATTTCTATATCTTTTTACCATTGGGAGGAACTATGATTGTTTTATAAGTACTACTGATGATATGGATCCTGGTATTATCAATTATGCTGATTTGGTTCAAATGGTTCTTGGTGAATGATTTTTTCTTTTTGTCTTATTAGTGACAGAGCTATCCCATCTTCAAATATTGATTTGCATTTTGTACATTGCTCTCGGAACCTAGAAAGATGTAAAGTATGTGGTGATATGGTTCCAAAAAAGCATGCTGAGGAACATTTCTTAAATACCCATGCTCCGGTATGTGAGTTTTTTCATGGTTAATTTTAAAGAAACTGTTCTAGTATTTATTGAGCTTCTTAAAAAATGTGATATTAGGCATGCTTTCTTGTTGAATTACAGTCACTTAGTGGTTGACATGTATTGATTAATGCTCTGAGATCAATATTTTTGGATTAATATCTAGTGTCGATTGTTGTTATTGAGCTATTTCTGTTTGAGCAGGTGGCCTGTTCTCAATGCAGTGAGACAATGGAACGTGAAATTTTAGCCATGCATAAAGGTGAAAATTGTCCGCAAAGGATTGTCACGTGCGAGTTCTGTGAGTTTCCGCTGCCTGCTATTGATCTTGCTGAGCATCAGGTAGTAATTTTCGTTGATTTTAAAAGTGAAAAGGTGGTATCCATACTATACCTTGGTGGTAACTTGGATGTAATTCTGTCTTGCTTTGTGATTGTAGGAAGTTTGTGGGAATCGCACAGAACTTTGTCATCTGTGTAACCGATACATTAGATTACGAGAAAGATACAACCATGAAATCAGGTGCACAGGTGTCCCAGAAAATGTTGTCGGACCTCCCAGGTACATGTGCTATCCTTTATTTATAAAGTATTTGAATAAAACTAGTTACATTTCATGACTTAGAACTGACCAACAAATTTTCTTTATCATTTAGCTTATTGTTAATGATTAATGTGTAGTCTGTGGCTTTTATTAAATCAGTGTATTAGTTTTGATAAGTTCTATGAGTTGTGAATTTCCTGTTTTGTCAGAAATATGTCTTTGAGTTCAATGTAAAATGAAATTGTAAATTGAATCTGTTGATCTGGATGTTGATACTTCTATATGGATACTTTTTAACAATAAACAAATTATAATTTGGTTTCATTGCCAAGAACTATGTTTTGTCTTACTAGTATGAATTGATTTTGGAAGTTTTGTTTTTTAATATCCTTAATTTTGCTTAGACTTGAAGAAAACAATTTATTTGTGATGGGGGTATTCCAACTTGTGATATGTAATTTCACTGTTTAAATTTTTTCTGAAGGGATGTGAGGGCACCTGAGAGAGACCAAGGTCCTCAAAGGAGGCCGCCGAATGACTTTTCACGGAAACGACTCCTACTTACCATTGCAATCACAGGCATTGCTGTTCTATTAGGATCTCTTTTTTTCCAGAGAAAGACAGAGAGCAGTCAAGTGCATTAGCAGAGTAGAGGATACACATTGGGAGTATGTAAATCAGCTTCAAAGCAATGGATTCTAATTATCTGTATTGAAATATGTCATAGAGCACACTTCTATTACTGTATCAAACTCATTGGGATTGTTATAATATGTTGGAACGGCTATGCAATATTTATTTCCTGCTTCATGACGAGTTGCTCTACGTCAAGTTGTTTTAAAAATGAGCTTCATACATTTTCCCGAAGATCTTATGCATCAGACTTCTTATTCCATCTTTTTATTTGATGGTGGCAAATTTTCAGTATTCAGTTATATGAATAATACTTAATATGCAAGCTGTATGCAGTTGGTGTATCTTTATAGTAGATTGTTTGATTTATTATTAGTTTTCCTCTAATCAAAACATACAATGTGAATTTATAAGAAGAGTTTGAATATTTAGTGTCATTCTTAGCAATAGAGGGCGTGGAGTTAGAATGTAAAGGGTCAACTTTGCTTCCTTTATCATCTTCATGTCTTTGGAAATTATGGATGATATGAAGAGCTTTGTCTTCGCTGTGCACGAGTCAAGTGGAAAGCAGCGGCCGTGATTTATTGGTGGTTGTCCTTTGCCACAAAGTTAGTTATGAAGGTTTGCTCAAGAATTTATAGGTAGTTGGGTGGTAGGTTAGCTTTTGTTCTGAAGGATTTTGTGATTCTCTATATTTTATTTCCTCAAATATCTTCAAATAAAATTGCTACGAGTCTGTGTGCAATCTATATCATAAAATCACTCTCGTTTGACGATTTTTTATTTTTTTTTTTAATTTATATTAACCTTTCAATAGAGTTTCTATGTTTAGTCTTTTGGGGTGAATTTAAAATTCTTATTAAACAAATAAATAAAAATAGATTGGAAGGATATGGAATTCAAAGGGAATTCCGTAATATTCTCCTAGTTTTACTTTGTAAAATCAAATCTGAAATGACGATTTCCCTCTCCCTGATCGTGGCAATTATTTTAACATAACATGAAAAAGAAAAAGAAAAAGGAAAGGTGTATTTAGTTGAGTATTTAGAATAATATTTTTAAAAACAATAATATTATACTTACAAAAAAATTTCATAAAAAATGGGATGATAAAAAATAATAGAAAAATTACATAAAAAGTTAAATTCATGAGATTGATTCTTTTATTTATTTTTTATCATATTATTTTATAAGGAGATTTTTATAAGATTTTTTTTATAATTATAACATTATTTTTAAAAAAAAGGTGAATTGAGTTGTTATTATGAGAAATTTAAATTTAAAAACGTGTTTGATAAATTTTTTAAAAATATTTACATTACTTTTTAATCTCATGCATTTGTAAATCTAACTAACCACATCTTATAATAAAAAATTTAAAATTAATAAAATCATCCTCATCCTTCCATTAAATGCTGATAACTAGCCAGCACTGATGAGAATCTATCAGAATAATATACAATCGGTTGATGATCGTACGTCGATGTGACATTTTCTGAGCCGTCAAAACTTTTTCATTTGTCATATTATATTTTGAAAAATAGATTAAAAAAAAAATAAACTATTAAATCTAATCGAATTGAAAGAATAAAAATATATTAAAAAGAAACTAACTTTAAACAGTTAAACCTTGCCGCCACTACGATAGGAGCCATTCTTATTCATCTCCGCATTGCCGAGACCATCGATACAATCAATCCCCATCTACAAGATCTCGACCACCGCCATAATCTCTTTCTTTTCCACTTCATCCCAGTCTATTGAGACCATATGAGAAGGATCACTTTCTCTTACCCTTCTACTGTGACCCTATGAGGAGGATTTTGCAGAGAATCCCTCGTTGTTCCTGTTGTTGTGGCTTTGCCACGTGTAGTAATTATGTGAGTGAAGGTATCTCCCATTCTCTTAAACCCCAAGCAGGCAAGTGAAATTCGCTTCATTTTTTAAATTTTATGTAATTTTACTTTCTCTGTTTGAAAATCACCCATCACAATTTCGATTCAATTGCTTGGTTTCCCTTTTCAAAATAGCTGATTTTTATTTCACGGAAATGGAGTGATTAACATCGATTGAAATTACAATTAATTAGGGTACCAAATTACCAATCACTACTGCGACGTGGCAATCTTTATATCAAACTTCAAATTTAAAGCAAAGAATAAAGGAAGGGATGACGATGAACATTATTTTATTTTACAACTTCATAAAATTCTGTTTATAACTTTTTGTCGTGGTAGTATTTCTTTTTATTTATAATATTTCATAGAACTTCTGAAAATGGATCCAGGAACTGACAGTGGCAAACAAGTTCTGCAAAATAATACATGCCCCTCCATGCCTCGGGTCCGGTTGCATATTCAAGATCGTCATGTAATTGAATTCTGTATTGTTCTTTTTTTTTTTTTTTTTTCCCCTTTCGTTCTTTTCATTGCATATTTTATATGCCTGAATTGGTGTTAAAAAATGAGATCTGAGAGGTTTATTTATGGACAAATTACGGGTTAACTTTGTGTATCATGTGTTGTTTGCATGCAGGTGGTATTGGATAATGGCATACTCCAAGTCACATTATCAAAACCAGGCGGGATTGTTACCGGAATACGATATAATGGCATTGACAATTTGCTTGAATTTCGTAACAAGGAGACTAATAGAGGGTACAGAGTGTTGCAATAACTTAAGTTTCTTTTTTCTATATTAACCTAAAAAATATATATTTATAATTGTTGAAATAAAAAACAGTTAATTGTTCGATGTTCCTAATTTCCTGGACCAAGAGTAACAACAGAGAAGTAGTATATCATTTTAATAGATAGGCATTACTAAACACGGCTCAAGTTTTTGAAAAGGAGTCCACATTACACTACATAAATTAAGAGAAATTCTTGCTAAATTATTGTTCGTCTTTCCTTTCTTATGAAATCTTTGATATAAACAGTTTAAACTCTACTGACATAAAACTTTGCCTCTGATCTTTTTACTTTAACATGCAGTTACTGGGATCTTAATTGGAGTGCACCAGGAGGAAAGGGAATATTCGACGTGTAACTACCTCTCAGAAATCACAATTGATTTACTTTTTATTCTTGTGCTACACTGAAGGAAATTATTTAAATTCTAATCGGAAGCAAGAATTGTGTGCTATGCAGGATTGAAGGAACACATTTTAGGGTTGTAGTTGAAAATGAGGAACAAATTGAACTCTCATTCTTAAGGTTTTGGGATTCCTCTCTTGAGGGCAAGTACATTCCCTTAAATATAGATAAAAGGTCCTTGCTCGAACCATACATCTGTATATTGTAATGTAATTTTGATTACACAAATAATGCTGTCGTGTTTACTTACAGGTTCATAATGCTTCGTGGTTCATCGGGGTTTTACTCTTATGCAATTTACGAGCACTTACAGGAATGGCCTGCATTTTGTCTTGATCAAACTCGATTCACTTTCAAGCTCAGAAAAGAGAAGTAAATAGAATTTATATCATCTTCTTTCTATTGTCATATAGATTGCCCTTGATATTCTATAATTGATAGAAAGAATTTTCAAGGGATGGGTGAATGTTAACTATTGATTAAAGTTTCTTTGTTTGGCCAGTTGTTCAATTATCCAAATAAACTGTTTTAGCATTTTAGCCATGGTTACTATGTAACGAATGATGAAAATGGGGTTTTGTGACCGTATCTCCTAGTGGTCAGTTGGCCTGATTGAATTTTCCTAGGTTTGAATGTAATTAACTTTTTGTGAGGAATAAATGTGAATGCATATTTCCTTTCTTGCATTGCTTATAGCACTAAAAGGGACAATTGCTATCTATGAAGAAGCATTACTCACTTAGTGTACTCCAAGTAAAATAGAAAACACCTGTAGGAGCCTAGTGGGTCTGGGATTATTTCTCAACATTGACCTGCAGAAATAAACATTGATGGCTGAAAGTAAAACAATTTAAGCTTTTCTGATTTGTTAAAATGGTTTAACTTGTAGATAAATTGTCGGAATTTTGGGTTGCAGGTTTCGCTATATGGCAATAGCAGATAACAGACAGAGACATATGCCTCTTCCTGAGGATCGAATGACGGGAAAAGGCCAACCCCTGGACTACCCAGAAGCTGTCCTACTTGTTAATCCCATGGATCCTGAGCTCCAAGGAGAGGTATTTTTTCAACTCATTTCCTTCTATATAATTTTGCAGTAGCCCGTTCCTTGAGCATCATCATAAGTTATTTATAACTGATTGTTCAGTGCATCCCTTCCTTTCTCAAGCTGGTGTAGCAAAATATCTACTAAAACATACATATTGGATCTAACTTTTCGGAGAGAGGTTCTGTGCTTTGCTTCCCATGCATAAGTAGGTTTATATGAAGAATTCACTTGTCATTTTAGGATCTCTTGGTTTTCAGGTGGACGACAAGTACCAATATTCATGTGAGAATAAAGATCTCAGGGTTCATGGATGGATATGCTATGCTCCCCCAGTAGGGTTCTGGGTAATTACACCTAGTGATGAGTTCCGATCTGGTGGACCAATCAAACAGAATCTTTCGTCACATGTAGGGCCTACCTCCCTTGCTGTAAGTTACTGATCGTGAACAATAGTCCACAGAGACAATATGCTACATGGGTAGTATGGGCATTAGTAATGTTATCGCAATAGGTATGAAGTAATATGGTTGCAAACTTTAATTGCATTAACTTCATGAAAATGTTGTCATCAGATGTTTCTTAGCAGACACTATGCTGGAAAATACATGGTCACAAGTGTTGGACCCAATGAACCATGGAAGAAAGTCTTTGGTCCAGTTTTTATCTATCTCAATTCTGCTGTTAGTGGAGATGACCCACTTTGGCTGTGGGAGGATGCTAAAATAAAGGTTTTACTTATAACAAATGACATGCTATTTTCATTGTAAAATAGCTTTTAAAAGTGGTTATTGACCTTTGATGGTCAAACTGTTACCGAACTTGATCTGCAGATGATGGGTGAAGTCCGAAGCTGGCCATACAGTTTTCCTGCATCCGAGGATTTTCAGAAGTCAGAACAACGGGGAAGTGTTTGTGGTAGACTACTAGTGCTAGACAGGTAGGCATGCAAGATTCAGCTTGGGTGCCATTAGGAACCTAATAACTATTTGACTAGAAACTTACTAGAGGTGCAAAAGGCCAAACCTTAAAACATGTGAGATATACGATATATACTTTCTAAAACCAGTTCTTAGAGGAATTAGCTGGAAGTTATTTGTATTGATTGCCATGATATATGTGGTAATTGCTGTTGCACTTCCAAGAATGTGAGAAGTACAATTTATAGAAAAAAAGTTGATTTCAGATTTTTTAATTTTATTTTAAGTTTTTGTATTTATAGAATATGTAAGCAGCAAAAAAATTTTGTGAACAGTTTTGTAGATTTACTTTTATCTTAATGAGTTATAACAAATGAATGGTCAACTAATATAAACAAAGTGATTCAACAACAGAAATATTGACATCTGATTATTGTGAGTAGGTATGTAAGCAAAGACTACATACCGGCAAATGGTGCTTATGTTGGGCTGGCACCACCTGGAGATATAGGTTCATGGCAAACAGAATGCAAGGTAAACCTATTTTTCTTTGTTGCTTGATGACTCTTTTTTCTCTTCTTTCTTGCCAGCTAATATGATTTGGAAAGCCAAAGTTCCTTGTACGGTTTAAATACTTGCTTAGGTTTTTGCTCACAATAGAAGCGATGGAGGTGAAGTTATTCAAAAAAGATTCGTCTAATAGGTGCTTGACTCCCTCTTGGTGTGTTATGTATAAAAGAACTGGGGAAAGCATTGACCATTAATTCCTCAATTACCCCTGAGCTACTGGTTTGTGGCTCAGATTGATTCAAAAAGCTAAAAATTTATTGGGTCATTCCAGCTTCTTGCAGATCATTTTGCTTAAGAGTTCTTAGACACTTTTGGCAGAGACAAGATAGCTTAAGTTCTATAGAATCTATATTTTCTGGCAACTTGGGTAATACCCAATATTATCTGTCACTCCTTGTTAGGACTACCAATTCTGGACCAAATCAGATGAGGAGGGCTATTTCTCCATACCACATGTACGTACTGGCAACTATAATCTTTATGCATGGGTCCCTGGTTTTATTGGAGATTTTCGATATGATACTGCTGTTACCATAACCTCAGGTATCAATCCTTCCAACTTTGAGCACTTTCTCAAATTTTATTAGATAACCAAGAATAATTGGCTTTTATAACATGTACAGGCAACAATATTGAAATGGGCGATCTGGTATATGAGCCTCCAAGAGATGGGCCGACATTGTGGGAAATAGGCATCCCTGATCGTTCTGCTGCTGAGTTCTATATTCCTGACCCTTATCCTATGTATCTTAATAAACTATTTGTCAATCACCCTGAAAGGTCAGCACCCCTTTCATAATTGTAATTTTAATCGTCTCTGAGCATTGAGATTAGGGTGATGGGAATCACTACTATTTTGTTCTTTGGAAGGAATATAAATGTTTTCTCTTTGTGTATTATATAATAATTTCCACATTATTGTAATAGATGTTCCAGTATCATGTCCATTCCTCCATGGACTCTCTATTTTTATGTGGGGCCTTTCTCATTACTTGTTCCATTTTCCCAGATTAAATGTTTGCGGACTTTTTTCTATGCTTTTTTTTAAAGATTTTGAGAGTTGATCGAACAAGTTAACTCAATATATTTGATCCTTTTTTTTTTTTTTTTTTTGAACTTTCAGGTTCAGGCAGTATGGTTTATGGAGTAGATACACAGAATTATATCCTAATGAAGACTTGGTATACACAATTGGTGTCAGTGACTACCGCAAAGATTGGTTCTTTGCCCACATTGTCAGGTATATTCTTCCAAAAATGGTTAATTTTTACTTGATCAAAGTTTCAATTATCTTTTAAATTGGTATACATTTGAGTGATTAAATGTTTTCTTTTTGTGGGTAGTCATTATTACTATCGGTAATTTTGGATTTTGAAAACAAGAACAATGAGGACTATTATCCAGAAAGCATGCTAGTAAAAGCATCTATATGGTTTGATCATATCTTGTTACATTGTTTACAAGAGAATAGTTGTCTATTACTTTGCTCACCCNTTGGTGTGTTATGTATAAAAGAACTGGGGAAAGCATTGACCATTAATTCCTCAATTACCCCTGAGCTACTGGTTTGTGGCTCAGATTGATTCAAAAAGCTAAAAATTTATTGGGTCATTCCAGCATCTTGCAGATCATTTTGCTTAAGAGTTCTTAGACACTTTTGGCAGAGACAAGATAGCTTAAGTTCTATAGAATCTATATTTTCTGGCAACTTGGGTAATACCCAATATTATCTGTCACTCCTTGTTAGGACTACCAATTCTGGACCAAATCAGATGAGGAGGGCTATTTCTCCATACCACATGTACGTACTGGCAACTATAATCTTTATGCATGGGTCCCTGGTTTTATTGGAGATTTTCGATATGATACTGCTGTTACCATAACCTCAGGTATCAATCCTTCCAACTTTGAGCACTTTCTCAAGTTTTATTAGATAACCAAGAATAATTGGCTTTTATAACATGTACAGGCAACAATATTGAAATGGGCGATCTGGTATATGAGCCTCCAAGAGATGGGCCGACATTGTGGGAAATAGGCATCCCTGATCGTTCTGCTGCTGAGTTCTATATTCCTGACCCTTATCCTATGTATCTTAATAAACTATTTGTCAATCACCCTGAAAGGTCAGCACCCCTTTCATAATTGTAATTTTAATCGTCTCTGAGCATTGAGATTAGGGTGATGGGAATCACTACTATTTTGTTCTTTGGAAGGAATATAAATGTTTTCTCTTTGTGTATTATATAATAATTTCCACATTATTGTAATAGATGTTCCAGTATCATGTCCATTCCTCCATGGACTCTCTATTTTTATGTGGGGCCTTTCTCATTACTTGTTCCATTTTCCCAGATTAAATGTTTGCGGACTTTTTTCTATGCTTTTTTTTAAAGATTTTGAGAGTTGATCGAACAAGTTAACTCAATATATTTGATCCTTTTTTTTTTTTTTTTTTTGAACTTTCAGGTTCAGGCAGTATGGTTTATGGAGTAGATACACAGAATTATATCCTAATGAAGACTTGGTATACACAATTGGTGTCAGTGACTACCGCAAAGATTGGTTCTTTGCCCACATTGTCAGGTATATTCTTCCAAAAATGGTTAATTTTTACTTGATCAAAGTTTCAATTATCTTTTAAATTGGTATACATTTGAGTGATTAAATGTTTTCTTTGTGTGGGTAGTCATTATTACTATCGGTAATTTTGGATTTTGAAAACAAGAACAATGAGGACTATTATCCAGAAAGCATGCTAGTAAAAGCATCTATATGGTTTGATCATATCTTGTTACATTGTTTACAAGAGAATAGTTGTCTATTACTTTGCTCACCCTCCTAGAAATACAGACTAGATGGCTACCATTCTGAACACGATTATTAAACGATAATGTTAATTTGTAATTCATACTCGATTGGTGGTTGTTCTAGCCGATTAGACATTATGTCCATCATGTCTGACTTTGTAATCTTTCTTATCCCTCAGGAAGACAGGTGATACGTATCAAGGAACCACTTGGCAGATTAAATTCAAACTTGACAAGCTGGATCAGAGCAGTAACTACAAATTGCGTGTGGCAATTGCATCAGCAACCCTAGCCGAATTGCAGGTAAAGACTAAACCGTAACATGGTTGATTTTTTGACTCATTTTTGCATGTAATTTGTTGAGAAAATTGAAAACTCCCTGAGATCACTCCATCTCTCTAGACAATGGATTTATTTGACGTCTGTAACCTACTGAATTTCCCCTCTTTTCCAGGTCCGAGTTAATGATCCAAACACAAATCGTCCTCTGTTTACAACCGGACTGATTGGGAGGGACAATGCAATTGCAAGACATGGAATTCATGGGCTTTACTGGCTGTACCATGTGAACATACCGGCTACTAAGCTTATTGAAGGAGAGAATACCATCTTCCTGAAACAACCAAGATGCACGAGCCCTTTCCAAGGGTTTATGTATGATTATATTCGTTTGGAAGGTCCCCCCAGCTCCTGATTCCTTGACAGGAAATCTATGTTTGCGCTAGTATATATATTCATAGATTTCATTTCATTGCTGTTTATGCAATGAAATTGTTCTACTAAAAGTGTTTGCAGATATATAATGAAAACATTATGAATATATTATGTATCATGTTAATATTTTCCTATCAATCTGCATATACTGAAATTGTTACATATATCACGCTCTTCTCACGGGGGATATGATCACCGTTTTCTGGTTGGGTATATTAAAAGCTTAAATCCCATAAATTTTTATATAAAATAAGGCTATCAAAAACAGCAAAACTTTCGTTATAAAATTGCGTTCCCTGTTAAGAATTGGAGCTGAGGTGAAATGGTTATGGATTGGCAATATGATTCCTTTGTACGAGTCTGTCTGAGATGGTGATGGGTTCTCCTTAATCAAGATTTGCTTATCCAATTATACTTTACCCCAGTCAAGATTTGCTAACCAAATTAAAAGAATATTACGACTGCCAAGGATTGGTAACATGATATGGTCAAATTCAACCCCAAAAAATAATAATAATAAAATTAAGAGAAATGTTAATCATACTAGATTTATCTGTCCATTTCTTTATCAACAAGTGTGTTGTGTGTGATACTGCCATAAAAGCTCGCAGATATCGGAAGCTCGTACAGAGATAGTTCGACCCAAAACAAGCTTAATCCAGAATCAATTCGACTCAGAGTAAGCTCAGCCTAGGTGAAGCTTGCCACAATGATCAACCCAAATAGCTGTTCAACGAAATCAAAGATAAACTCCAATCTCGAATATTTTGGAAGGGATAAGATCAACACTACTGGCAGCACAATCCCAACGTACAATCTCGAAGATCATGGGATTGCAAACCAATTCTGATTGCAATCCCCGAACTTATCTCTCCCCATTAATTACAAACTTGTATATAAACCCACTCAAACGATGAGAGAGGGGTTAACAAATTATTCTAGGCAATTTTTATTGTTCTTGTAATCCCTCAAAAGCAATAAGATAACAATGGACGTAGGCTCAATTTCTAACTTGCCAAACCACTTTAAAAACCCTTTGTGTTCTTTACATTATTATGCATTTTTTACATTCAATTGCTGGTTATCTTTAATCACGCACACATCAGTTCCAATTCCGTCAAGGTCAATTGATTCTCTCAGGTTAGTGCAAATTTGGTATCAACAAAGTGTTTTCATCTTTTATTAGTTATTTTGTTTACTATTTATTGAATTCTGTAATTGACTCTACAATTGCTATGAATATTAAGCCATCTAAAACGGAAGACAAGGCAACTAACAAAAATGGAATTAGTATCAAACTAATTCTGAGGAATAATATTTTTTGGAAAATTCATCAAACTCTTTTTCTTTAAAGGTATTTAAAACGTCACAACATATAGCATTTTTTTTTTCTTTTTGACATAATCGATTAGTGTGAAAATCACAATTGACACTATCAAGCTTGGTTCCAAGGTGTTGATACGAGATTCGCACCAACTAGAGCAATCTGATTGACCTTGACAGAATTGGAACCGATGTGTGTGTGATTAAGGATAACCAACAATGTGTGAATGGAATGCAGTAAAGTAAAATAACAAGAAAAGTTTTTAAAGTGGTTCGGCAAGTTTCAATCTTGAGCCTACGTTCACTGTTTTTTGTATTTGCTGTGAGAGCTTACAATGATATTCCTAGAACAATTTGCTAACCCCTTTCTCATCGTTGGAGGAGGTTTATATACAGATTTTGTACAAAGAAAAGAGCGAAAATAAAAGGATTACAATTAAGATTGAAATGCAACTCCGATATTCTCGTGATTGAGTGTTGAGATTGCGCCATGAATGTGGTCGATCTAATCCCTTCCGAGATATTTGGGATCTAAGGTTATCTGTGAGCTGTTTGAACAACTGTCGAGATTGGTCGCGACTAGCTTATGCTGGGTCGGACAATCATTTGAGTTGAACTAATTCTGGATCGGGCTATAACCTTGCACTTCTCCGAGCTTGATGGAAAAATCACACACAACATCTACCCCTAGTGTTCGGTGCTCATTTCGAGCTTTGAAGACTATTGCTCGATTTAATGTCAACCTCGGACTTCGTCGGTTGTGTGTTGAATGCAGATTTGGTCGAGCTTCATGAGTCTAACTCATCTCTAGTCGACGTAATGGCAAAGAAAGAAATGACTTAAAGCAGACTGAGCTTGAGCGGCTGAAAAAAGAGGTTGAAGCCTTCGAGGTCAAGGAGAGGGAATTCCTTAACAAAATCAAGGCAAGCGAGGCCGCTCAAGCGAAAACTGAGGCAAAGTCGACCGAGGCTGAGAAGAATTTGGCATAGCAGCGAGGTGCCAACAACAAGCTGAACTCTGAACTTACCTCGGCTTAGAAGGCTGCCTCGGACTGGGAGGCCAAGTATGAGAAAGTTTCTCGTGAGCTTACCAAGGAGGTGGAAGATTGCAAAGAAGTCGAGGCTGAGGTTGAGCAGCTCAAGCTCGATATCAAGGAGCTTAACTTAGCCATTATGAGTCATGCTTGGGACACTTCAGTCTTCCTCGTGTAAAAGCTGTAAGAAGCTCATCCTTTGCTTGAATTTTCCTTCCTTCCAAGGGCTTATCAGAAGGAGGTCGACAAGATGAAGATTGAGGCCCAAGGTATGGATTACATTTACTCGGATAGCTCTGAGCCCGATAGTGAGGATGAGGAAGGAAGAAGAGGAGGAAGTCGAGATTAAGCAAGAGGTTGAAGATCCGCCCCCTCTAGCTACACTCCCACTTGTTGCCGTCGACCTTCTCTCGGTCGAGCCTCCAAATGATGTCCCGGCTGCTGCCCCTAAAGAGGCTGCCAAAACTCCTGCTATCGATGATACTCCTGCCCCCGTTGGTAATGATCTCACCGATCTTGTTGGCGACGATGCCCTCGCTCTTACTATTTAGATTTTTTTTTTTTTTATCTTTATCTTTTTGTTTTTAGTTTAGCTTGTAACTAAACTAGTACAATCAATGAATAATTCATTTTGTCCACTTTTGTCAAGCAATTTTTTCATTTCTGTAGAGCCATCTCAATCATCCTGATCGGACTTAACATAAAAAATTCGAATTTGCTCCAAGTTATGCGTAGCCCGCTTCTTTGTGAACAAAGTAGTTCTAAATTATGCGTGGCTCGCTTCTTGAGGAAATTTTTGAATATATAAGAAAGTCTTTTGTGCAACGACTCCGAGCTTAGACTAATTGTCTGTCTCGAGTTTTGGTCGCCAGTTTATGACTGATTTTCCTTTGACATGTTTTACTCGAGTTTTAACTTCGTTGATTCGGGGGATATCTCTCTTCATGAGTTGAATTTTGGCATGGCTTATAAAGCTAAGCTACCTTTTTAGAACTCTTGACTCTGAGTTTTGGATGTGATCGCTTAGGTCGCAATTTTGAAACAATAGATAAACAATAACAAGCAAAATAGAGTTTATGAATAATACCTCTTTATTAATGAATGAAACTCGACCGCAAAAGACCTTACATTGAATAAGAAAAACAAAACATAATTGAAACTCGAGTTGTTTATTGGTAATACCTTCGCAAATGTTCGGTGTTCCACGCTTGTAGTACAGCTTCACCATTGAGGTGTTCCAGGTGGAAAGTTCTCAATGCAAGCTTTTTAGAGATCCTGAAAGGACATTCCCATTTGTGCCAAAGTGCTCACAAGTTTGGGTTTTGTGTACCCGGGATGACCTTTTTGAGAACTAGGCCGCCTACTCCGAAATCTCTGTTTTTGACTTTGGAGATGAAGGATCGTTTGGCTCGCTGTTGATAGGAAGCGAGCCTTAGCTGAGACTTGCCATTCGACTTCTTCACCAAGACTGGGTTGGCAAGCCAGTCTGGATACTTGACTTCCTTGATGAAGCTAATGTTTAGGAGCTTATCAACTTCATCCCTGAGTGCTTTGGATCACTCAACATCCATATATATTCTCTTTTGTCTAATTGGTCAAGCCCTTGACTCGACATTCAATCTGTGACACATTTTCTCGGGGTTGATCCCCACCATATTCGCGTGAACCCAAGCAAACACGTCAAGGTTTTTCTTCAGGAACCCTAGAGATTGTTCGCCAACTCGTCGCTCAGGCTCCTGCCAATTTTCAACACGCAAGTTGGGTCTTCCTCGTTGACAAGTACCTCTCACAACTCTTCTGTAAGCCCTGCTACAGGCTCTTCTTTGTGGATGCAAGGATCTATAGTGTCTTCCAAAAATTTGGGCTTATGCTCGGACTCAACGATGACCATAGTTCTCGGGAGTGACAATTTATGTGCAGCATGAATGGCTTGATTGTAACATTCCTGAGAATCTTTCCTACAACTCCTAATTGTGGCGACCCCTCTTAGAGTTGGGAATCTCATTGCTTGGTAGTGCATTGAGGTGACTACACTTAGGTCAGCCAGGATCGGTCTCCCGACAATGACATTGTACATGGTCGGGCAATCGACCACTAAGAATTCACCATCACCATCCTTATCTTAGGCTTTTTCCCAAAAGTCATGGGTAAATCGATTGTTCCCTTGGGGACTAGGCTATCCCCGGTGAATCCATAGAGTGGCGATGGACATGCCTTCAAATATTGCTCTATAAACCTCATTCCTCAAAAAGCTCTCAAGAAAATGATGTTCTCTACACTGCCATTGTCGACCATTACCCGAAATACTCGTGCGTTGCCGGTCCTATCGCGGTTGTGGGGAGGAGATTCTTCACACTCTTCCTTGGTGAATCTTATCACCTCGCTTTTTTGCTTAGGCCACTTTGATGACTTTTGCTCACAACTCATTACTTTGGGGACTGAGTCTGTCCTACCCTCTCGTCTGTATTGCTCGCAAGAATGTTTAGAACTCTCTGCAATGTCGGGTCCCCCATAGATCATTCCCACAAGAACGTCATTGTTCGTCAAATTTTGTTTGACTTGATTATTCTACTCGCCTATTTTTTCGTGAGCTAGGGCCTCCTTGACAAATTCTTTCAGGTGGCCCCTCATAATCAGATCCTCGATGGCGTCCTTTAGAGCTCGACACTCATTAGTGTTGTGCCTAATATCCCGGTGGTACCGACAGTATTTTTGGCAATCTCTTCTACTTGGTACTCCCCTCATTCTTTCTAGTGTAGGCAGTCTCTAGGCCTCACGAGAGACCTCATAAATGTGAGCTACATCTTGAGTTGGGCGAGTGTATTCTGCATACTATGGGAAAGGCTGCTTTTCCCCGTGGTTTTTTGTACTTTATTTCTTTTGAAACCTCTTTTGGTCCTTATCATTGTGGTTTTGGCCCCTCTGTTTATCTATTTGGCGATCTTGTCGCTTATCTAGGGCTTTTCTTGGAGAGCTTTTGGTCAGGGCCGCTAGCAAGCTTTTCACCCATTGATGTTTGGTAGCCATTTGATAGAACTTGGCTAGGCTCACATGATCTTCACTTTGCATTCTTTCCACAACTTCGTCTGCGGCCTTATACCTGCAATTGGCAAAGTCCAGATCGACTCTTCAAGTGCATCTGTGACCTTTGCCTGCTCATTCTGGAACCTCGTTAAGTACGAGGTCAGTATTTCGTCTCTTTCCTAACGAATATTGCTCAGATAGCTGAGCGACATTGCAAACTGTCTCATTGCTTGAAATGTTGTAGGTACAGCAAGGAGAACTACTACTAGGACTGAATTGAGTTCGCTTTGAGCCTTTTGTACCACCTCTTGGCATCCCCTACCAATGTGACCACAAAGTAATGACATTTTTCCAAGTCACAGACCTGATGTAGCTCTATCAGATCGTTAAAAGAGTCAATGTGGTCTCTAGGATCCCCTTTCCAGCCGAACTTGCTCTCTAGTGCCCTGAATGCCTAGGGGAGTGGGGTCTGGCGAACTTCCTCCATGAACGGAGAGCTCACTATTTCTTCAGCTATATTGTTTTGGCAGGCTCTTAGATCGTTAAACATTGTTTGCACCCGATCTAGATCTTCATTATGGGGATTACTCTGGCTGACTCTATTCAACCTTACCTCGAGCATATGAGTTTGGAGATCTGTTGCTTGTGAAACCCCTCCGTTGTGCGCATTAATGCGCGAGGTTGAGTCATAATGGCTTGGTTGGTAAGTGTTATCGTAGTCATCAGTGCGTTGCTCGCAACGTTAGTTAGAACTAAAACGTCGGTCATTGCCAAATTGGCACATGTGACTCATCTCGTGAGCTTGTGAGGTCTAAGCTCGCCTTTAACGTGGGTTAAAACTGGCACGTTGACGTTGGGGATATTATCGAGCAAGTCAAGCATCCCTCTGGCGACTGTTACCTTCATCCTCCACTATGGGTTGTTTGCCCGGTCGCCTTCTTGGGTTAGTCTGCCCGCGGGACTCTCGTTCATGAGTGGAATTTGCCCGGCAGTGTTGGGGGGTGTCGGTCGTTCCTTGGTGTCGACGAACTAGATTGGTCGCTGGCTAAGTTCTAACCTGTCGAGGTGATGTTTGTGAAACGTGGATAGTCAAGGTCTTGTGGGGCCGTTTGCTGGTTTCTTAACTCAACCACGTTGTGTTGCATCGCTTGTGCAACCATTGTTCTGATCATCTCCACCAGTTGCCCATTCTCGGGATTCGACATCCCTAACGCCTGCTAGTCCGCAGTCTGTTGCATCGACGGTACTAGTGGTCGACCTAAAGGCACGGTTTGATGAACCTCCTAATTGGCGGTTTCCATGTTGTCATGGTTTCTTGTGTTGGTCTTTGATCTAGTATGAGCCATTTGGAATTTTCAGGTGACTAGGTACTCAAATTGATTGCCGGAAATTCTGAAATTTGGCAGAGGCCCTCATTCTAGTGCCAAAATATTGATACGAGATTCGCACCAACTAGAGCGATTTGATTGACCTTGATGAATCGGAACCGATGTGTGCGCGATAAATGATAACTAGCAATGTGTGAATGGAATGCAGTAAAGTAAAATAACAAGAAAAGTTTTTAAAGTGATTCGGTAAGTTTCAATCTTGGGCCTACATCCACTATTTTTTGTATTTGTTGTGAGAACCTACAATGATATTCTTAAAACAATTTGCTAACCCCTTTCTCATCGTTGGAGGGGGTTTATATATAGAAGTTGTACAAAGGAAATAGCGAAAATAAAGGGATTACAATTAAGATTGAAATGCAACTTTGATATTCTCGCGATTGAGCACTAAGATTGTGCCTTAATTGCTATTGATCTAATCCCTTCCGAGATATCCGAGATTTAAGGTTATCTGTGAGCTGTTTGAACAACTGTCGGGATTGGTCATGACTAGTTTATGCTGGGTTGGACAATCGTTTGAGCCGAACTACTTCTGGATCGAGCTATAACCTCGTACTTGTCCAAACTTGATGGAAAAATCACACAAAACACAAGTCATTAAGTTAAGCTCGTTCATTTATGCGTAAATTTAGAATACTCATAAACCTCAAGATTTTGTTCAGCTACTTAAAGGAAAAGTTTATCCAGGAGTATTTATTAATTAGTTATTTAAAGTTGCTAGGTAATGATGCAACTGCAATGAACAACACCATAAATCTAGTTAAGTTGGCCGACTAGTTTGAGTTTATAAGTTAGGTAGAATAATCTTTTCTCAATAAGAATAATCTTTCTCTACTGAGAAGATAATGGGCCGGCTATCGTAGTAGCAAGCAAAACACTCTGGCCGTTCTTTCCATTTAATCCAATGGGATTCATCATAGCGACTCTTGCACGCCTGTACATGCTGCACCAAACCATGTTGGCGACAAAGTAAAGGGATTTAAAAAGGGTCAATTGCACAACCACCCCTTATTTTAGAAACTGAAATCTAACTTTGTGATTGTAAAACCCCTGATGTTTTACAAATTTTTAATATCACCCTCCCGTCAATTTCCCTTACAACTTCCGTCATAACATAATTTAAAATAACCTCTTTACCCTTAAGATTTGACATATGGCTGCTTTTCAAAATTTATTTTCCAATTTTTTATTTTTTTAGCTCTTTTTTCCCCCACCCACCATCCACGGAAGTTCACTCCTCTCTTCTTGCTCCTTCCCCACCCACGTGCAAAGTAGGAAACGCCACAAAAACAGCATGATACCTCTTTGTGGATTGCCAGAAAAGGATTCCTGTTGATGGCTCTGAACCATCTATCGCCACTCTTTGTGAAGAAGAGGTGAAAAATATGGGTTTTGCACACACTCTGAAAGCGTAAGTGACGACAAAGACGGGAAAGAACTGAAACTTGGGTTTCTTCTTTTTCTAATCAGCCCTTTTTTACGATTAGTGGCAAGTGTGAAAAGACAAATATTTCCTTGGTTAGTAACGGAACTTGTGACGGCGTCAGTCCTAGGGTCGTATCTGACTAATTTTTGAAACATGAAGGATGATATTGGTATAATGACCTTAAAGTCAGCATCTAACTTTAATTTCAAAACTTAAGGGGTGGTTTGCGCAATAGACCCGATTAGATTGGTAAACATGAAAGTATAAAAGAATGCTTCGTCTCTAGTTCAAGGAAACTTCAAATTGCTGGGAGGTGGAGATAAATTAACTTTCATAGTTTTCAGAAATAGTACTGTAGAAAGTTCATCACTTGGTAAGAAGCCTTTTCGGAGTTTTGTCAAAGATCGGCCTGATCAACATGCCACCTCGAGGGGTGCAGTTGCGAGTTCTGGATAGTCATGTAATTAATTAAATTTGATCCAATTGGTCCTACGTAGTTATTGTTTTTAGTTTTTTTTGTGGAAAAATTGAATTTTATATGTTTACATAAGCCACGTACCTCGCTGGCTATAGTATTGCGTGAGGGAGCTGAGTTTAACTTAGATCATGCTTTATCTGTGTAGGTGGTGATGGATAATGGGATACTCCAAGTGACATTGTCGAATCCTGAGGGAATTGTAACTGGAGTTCGTTACGGCAACATCGACAACTTGCTTGAAGTTATTAATGATGAATCTAATAGAGGGTACTACTACTACTACAGCTACCTTTAGCTTTACAACTGTTTTTAATCTTCATTAGTCTCTTTCTACATCTCTCTTTTACTGTTCTTTGAGTTTCTTTCGAATTCTTTCGTGCCAATGTTGTAATTCTTCTTTGAATATGCTTTTTATGTGGACAGAAAACCTGTTTAGTATTTGAAAACCTGAGTTTGTAGGGTACACACAGCATTAATAGCCATAGCAATTCACCAGTTAGTCTACACATATTTGACATTATTAAAAATTTAAGCTTCAGTCTTTTGTTTCATTCAAAAGTTGAAGCTTTTGGGAGAGCTAAGACTTATTTTCCGAAATGCGCAATATGTAGGTACTGGGACCTTGTTTGGAGTGCGCTAGGAAGTACAGGAACAACTGGAATATTCGATGTGTAAGCCTCTGATGCCCCTCTCTATCTTAATAAAATCAAAACTAAATTGTTAAGTCAATTTCGTTATTCAGTTTAAATCATGAGCACATGCTCCTGTTCGTTAATATCTAAGATCACTGTGCAGGATTAAAGGAACAAGTTTTAACGTTATAGTGGAAAATGATGAGCAAGTAGAAATATCATTCACAAGAACGTGGGATACATCTCAGGAGGGCAAGCTCGTTCCTTTAAACATAGACAAAAGGTCCTTAATTTCTTAAACTATACTACGTATTATATGTTATAAGTGTTAAATTGTATCGATCGTCTGCTTATATTACAAAGCGTCCTTAAAATTAATGGATGTTGCTCTATATCTGGTCATAGGTTCGTACTGCTTCGTGGTTGCTCAGGCTTCTACTCATATGCCATTTATGAGCACTTAGCGGAATGGCCTGCTTTCAACCTTGCCGAAACAAGAATCGCCTTCAAGCTCAGAAAGGACAAGTAGACAAGTTTCCTCCATTTTTATTTCTTCTTAATTTTAACATTTAATTCAGATTATTAATTGGAAATGATATATGAACAGGTTTCACTACATGGCCATAGCAGACAACAGGCAAAGAAATATGCCATTGCCTGATGACAGGTTGCCACCAAGAGGCCAAGCCTTGGCTTATCCTGAAGCTGTCCTTCTTGTTAATCCAGTGGAGCCCGATCTCAAAGGAGAAGTACGTACTGCATTGTGATTGGAATTAGACAAGCATATCTATGATTAGTGATAATAAATGAGAAATGGATGCAGGTGGATGATAAATACCAATACTCGTGTGAGAACAAAGACATTAGAGTACATGGGTGGATTTGTAGAGACGAGTCGGTTGGTTTCTGGCTAATTACACCCTCTGATGAATTTAAATCTGGTGGACCTCAGAAACAGAACCTCACTTCCCATGTGGGCCCCACCACTCTTGCTGTAAGAATTATAATTATTTTGTTTTAGAACTTTTAACATTTAACACTATCAACATTCTATCTCATAATAATAGAACTTAAATTAAGAAAGAAAAAGATGGTGTTTGATGAAAATGGTATGATCAGGTATATCTCAGCGCCCATTATTCTGGAGAAGATCTGGTGCCCAAGTTCAATGCTGGAGAGCACTGGAAGAAAGTTTTTGGCCCTGTGTTCATGTATTGTAATTCTTTATTTGATGGAGCAGACCCGCTTTGGCTTTGGGACGATGCAAAAGAGCAGGTTTAATCTTGACCCAAAGAAATTGGCCAATTAATTCATAAAAAACAAATACTTACTCGGTTACTCCAATCAATGTAATTAAATTAATTTTCAGATGATTATTGAGGTCCAAAGTTGGCCTTACAATTTCCCAGCTTCAGAGGATTTCCCGAAGTCGGACCAAAGGGGTAATGTTAGTGGTAGACTATTAGTTCAAGACAGGTAATTAAGCCTGATGAAAATTGCACTTGGTTTCAAAAAATATGTAGATTTCATATATGATGAAATTAAGTTTGGAATAATTGCGATGCCTAGGTATGTTTATGATGATTACATTTCGGCAAGTGGTGCTTTTGTTGGGTTAGCTCCACCCGGAGATGTTGGATCTTGGCAAAGAGAATGCAAGGTGATTTTGGCTAACTTCTTTATTTTACTCCATTACCAAGCCACTGATAGTTTTGTTTCTCTATTTCTCTTTACTAGGACTACCAGTTCTGGACTAGAGCAGATGAAAATGGCTTTTTCTCCATTAATAATATACGCGCAGGCGACTATAACCTTTATGCTTGGGTTCCTGGTTTCATTGGAGATTACAAATACAATGTTGTTGTTAACATCACCTCAGGTACTGTGATACTGCCTGCAGGAAACTTGTAGAAATAAAAATAAAGTTCTATTTAGTCAAGGGAAAGCAAAGCATTTTATGGTTGATGTAACATGTGGTACAGGTTGTGACATTGACATGGGTGTTCTTGTTTATGAGCCTCCACGAAATGGACCCACATTGTGGGAAATAGGCATCCCTGATCGTTCTGCTGCTGAATTCTACGTTCCTGATCCTAATCCAAAGTATATCAATAAACTTTATGTCAATCATCCTGACAGGTTAGGCCATATGTGGATTCTTAGGCCTTTTCATTTTCACATTTACTGCCAACTTGGGTTTGACCTTATTCATCTTTTAATGGCAGGTTTAGGCAATATGGATTATGGGAAAGATATGCAGAATTATACCCCAATGAAGACTTAGTTTACACTGTTGGGACGAGTGACTATGCTAAAGATTGGTTCTTCGCTCAGGTTACCAGGTGCGAATTATACATGTATTGAGCTGTCTATGCAATTAGACTTGAAAGTTTTCCTTGATCAAAATGAAAGTCCCTTTTGCATTTCAGGAAGAAAGATAATAACAAATATCAGGGTACGACGTGGCAAATCAAGTTTACACTTGACGATTTGGACCAGAGCAGTACTTATAAATTGAGAGTGGCAATTGCATCTGCAACTTTTTCTGAATTGCAGGTATATAACTTCAAAACTGATTACTAAATATTTCAGCAAGGATTTCCTCACATATAAAATGATTGATTTGTTTCGAATGTGATTTTACACTGCTGAAAAACTGTCTTATTTTCAAAGGTTCGGGTTAATAATCCAAACGCAAATCGACCTCTCTTTTCAAGTGGACTAATAGGCCGAGACAATTCAATCGCAAGGCACGGAATTCACGGGCTCTATTGGTTGTTTAACGTAGATGTACCAGGTGCCCGTCTTGTTGCCGGTGATAACACTATCTTCTTGACACAACCACGAACCACCAGCCCTTTCCAGGGGATTATGTATGATTATATCCGCTTTGAAGGTCCTTCATCTTCTATTTCTAAGAGAGAAAAACACTGAGTTTTATTAGAAGCAGAAGTCGATATCCTTACAGCCTACACGTCTTTGCAATATAGCGATATGTAGAATGTTAAATGATTTATTCTATCTTATAAAATCCTTTGTATCAAATTTGAGGAGCTGGGACTTAAGCCCTATGTGAATGGCATTCTTTTTTTTTTCCGCTAGCCACAGTCCGCCCAAACAGGGGTGCCCATATTATTGATAGCGGTGATAATGACCATCAATCTGCATAAACATTGACAAAAAAATATTATCAACAAAATTTATACAGAGCCCATGAATGTAATTTAAATCTGGTCACTTGAACTTCACCATTTTACATCACTTTATAATTATAATTTGTATAAGGGCTAATCAATTGTGACATCCTTTGACTTTGGATAAAATTAACATTTAGGATACAACTTAAAAATTAAGAGTAGTTACATGTATCATATCTTTAATGCAAACATTAATAAGTGGATTAGTGTGAGATCTGTTCAAAGTTAGATGTATTTGGTTGGATATTAATCACATTGTAGTAGATGATTGAAAAAGGAAATACCTACTTCAAACCTAATAGTTTCTTTCTTGTACTTATAATTGCAATGTCATTCTTCATCTTGTCAAAGAATGGTGAATAATTTTCCCTACATTTTCCCGAGGCATTTGTATTGTACTCTTGTTTATCCAGAACAATAGCCTAAGGCTTCTCTGTACAGAGCATGCTGCCTATGTCTTCTCATCTTTTTCTTTTACTTTTTTTGCAATGGCTGGTTCAGCCCATTTCTTCTCTAGGAGTTCGGTTGGATGTTCAAGATAATCAAGTAAATTTTACTTGCATGCAAATTTTTTACCTTTTCTTTGTGGTGCAGGATTGCTATTGTATAGATTAGGCGAAGGAAGAGTATCCAATAATATATAAGATTTGGTTCCTGTCATCTCATGGCCTGGATTTTGATCATGTCACAACATTGCAGGTGGTTCTGGACAATGGCGTTCTTCAGGTCTCGTTATCAAATCCAAAGGGTTTTGTCACTGGAATAAGATATAATGGCATTGACAATTTGCTTGAAGATCAAAATGATGAATCCGATAGAGGGTATATACATCAGTTTATTAATTAATATCCAAAAACAGTCCAAATTTAAACTCATTTTCTTTGTTCTGTATATTTTAGTTACTGGGACGTAGTTTGGAGCGGGGAAGGAATTACAAGGAAAAAGGGTTCATTGGATAAGTATGATCAGCATCAATCCTCATAAAATCTCCAATGGTTAATATCATGATACAGGAATCAAAAGGGTTCATTAGTTAATGGATGAAAATAAAACTGGTGTTCATTGCAGGATTGAAACGACAAATTTTACAGTAATATCACAAAAAGAGCATCAGGTAGAACTCTCATTTACCAGAATGTGGGACCCCTCCATGAAAGGAAAGGTCGTTCCCTTGAAGTTCGATAAAAGGTCCTTTTTGCTTGAATTTCTTATAAATTGTATGAATAAATAATGCAAGTTATGAATTAATGATGTGATGAGGAATTGATTCTATTGTAGGTTTGTAATGCGAAGTGGTTCACCTGGCTTCTACACCTATGCTATATATGAGCACCTAGAAGGATGGCCTGCTTTTAATATTGAAAATGTCAGGATAGCATTCAAGCTCAGTAAAGACAAGTACATGAACTTCTCACATTCTCTTTTTTTGTTTTCCCTAAATGTCGATTGAGGTTATGATTGATAAATCATGGCAGCATAATTCCGAAATGGAAAAGAAAAGAAAAAGGAGATGAAATTTAGCTTGAAAAGCAAATTACAAATATTTCAATTAATGAACCAAAATGGGAAAATATTTGACAGGTTTAACTATATGGCAATAGCCGACAACAGGAAAAGATATATGCCCCAACCTGATGATCGGTTGAACAACAGAAGCCAAGCTCTGGCCTACCCAGAAGCAGTTCTAATGGCGAATCCCGTGGAGCCGGAGTTCTCAGGAGAGGTACTTCTAGCTTGGTATTTATATCTTGAAGATTATCATAGAAAACTGTTAATTTGAACATGTATTGCTTAGTACTAGTGATCTTGAATTATATAAATATATATAGGTGGATGACAAGTACCAATACTCAAGTGAGAGCAAAGATATCAAGGTCCATGGGTGGATATGCAACAATCCGCCTGTGGGATTATGGCAAATCACTCCTAGCAATGAGTTCCGATCAGCTGGACCCTTAAAGCAATTCTTGACCTCGCATGTCGGCCCAACTTACTCTCATGTAAGGATTTTCTTATTTATTGTGTTAAAAAAAAAAAAAAAAGGCTTTTACAGGTGTTATGAATCTATGATTTTGCCTCTTATTAAATTGCTATTATCAGGTGATGCACAGCACCCATTATGCTGGAGCGGATTTGACGATGAAACTTGAGCTGGTGAAGCATGGAAGAAAGTTTATGGCCCTGTCTTTGTGTATCTTAATTCTCTGTCAAATGGAGGTCAAGCCCAGATGCTCTGGAGGACGCTAAAAAACAGGTCTCGAACTCGAAGACAAAAACTGCAATCTTTAACTACGCAATTAACATGAACATGGTAATGGTGTTGCTGACAAATTAGTTCTGATAGACAATGAATTGATGATGCCAATTTGTTTTCAGATGACGATGGAAGTTCAAAACTGGCCCATGATTTCCTAGCTCAACGATTTTCCTCCATCAAATCAAAGGGGAAAAATCGTGGTAGATTAGTGCTTCAGGTGGGTACCTTACTTGTAAATTTTTAATTATGTTGATCAGTTCATGCTTAAATTCTATCAAAGTCTTAACGATACGCTTGTCCAGGTATTTTAGTGTTAAGAACTACCCGCAAATGGTGCTTATGTGGGTTTAGCACCCCAGGAGACGTTGGATCTGGCAAAGAGAATGCAAGGTCAATTTAAGTTGGATCTCTTTCAAAATTTCGGGCCCAAAGAGCAACTGGCCCATCTAGTCCAATAAGTGATTCTTGTACATAAGTAACTGAATTTGTCTTTTTTTTTTTTTTTTTAACTAGGGTTTCAATTCTGGACAACAGCAAATGCAGATGGCGAATTCCCATCAATAATTACGAACTGGAAACTACAGTCTTGCAGGTTACCTGGTTTCGTTGGAGATTATAAATATGATGATGTTATTACCATTACCCCAGGTCTTATTTTGACTTCTTTATGAACTTAAAATTCCTTTATTGTATGCAATAGATTAATACTGTAAATGCAAAGCAGGTTCTGATATTAAAATGGACAATCTTGTGTATGTGCCCCCGAGGGATGGCCCCACAGTATGGGAAATAGGCATCCCTGATCGTTCAGCTGCAGAATTCTATGTTCCTGATCCTAATCCAAAGTATATCAACAAATTATTTGTCAACCCCCCTGACAGGTTAGCTCTTTAACTTCTAAAATAATTTTTTTAGGTAATAATCTATTAATGCCCTTTGGTGTTAGACACCAGAAAAGAAAAATTTGTGTTTTCTCTTCACTTAAAAGCCATAATCTCACTTAGAAACAGTAATCAGTAGTGCTTTTGAAACATTGCGGGTGTTATTAATTGATCGAGCACCAATCTATTTTTTTTTTTTTTTTTTTGCAGGTTTAGGCGTATGGATTATGGGAAAGTATGGAGAGTATATCCTAATGGAGATTGTGTACACGGTTGGCCTCAGATTATAAAAAAGACTGGTTTTTCGTCAATGTAAGGTCTAATTCTTCCACACTGGTTTTGAGTTGAATTTCTCATATCGCCCTTATGTGTATATAGTGTTTGGGCTCCTTTTTCTTAACTACTTTTAGTGAGTTTACCCAAACCATTTATCAGTTTCTTCATAGTTGATATGTGTTACCACCACCAAGATGATGCATATTTAAATCTTCACTACATTGCTGTATATACATATGGATTATATGCCAATTCTACAAAGATATAAGAATGCAACATCTAAAGAAGACGAGACTAAGTAGCTAGCTTCTGTTAATGCTTCATGTCTTGCTTTATCCAATGAGAATTTTAGGCTTAATGCTAATGAATTTCTGCCTTATTAAAAATATAGTTGCACTGCATGCAGGAAGAAAGATGTACATATCAAGGAACCACATGGCAGATTAAGTTCAAACTCAATAAGATTGATAAGAGTGGAACATATAAACTGCGATTGGCGCTGGCTACTGCAAATGTGCTCAATTGCTGGTATTCCCTATGTTTCGTGTTTCATTACATCTTCAACCCTATTAACTTTGAGATTGATGATTAACCATTACTTGAACAGGTTTAGTAACATCAATGATCAATTCAACAACAAAGCATGCTGATTATACTTTCCTGTTTTTAATTTGGTACCGCTGCGGATTTATCCTTAATTTGAGTTTCTTTTTTCTTCCTTAAAGGTTCGGGTAAATGAAGCTTTAGAGAAACCTCCTCTCTTTTCAACTGGGGTAATTGGGAAGGACAACACAATTGCTAGACAGGAATTCATGGGCTCTACTGGCTCTACAGTTAATGTCCTAGCAGAGCACTACTGGAAGGGGATAATACCATTTCTCTCACCAAACAGAAGCATCAGCCCTTTCCAAGGGATTATGTATGACTATATTCGTTTAGAAGGTCCTCCCTATCAAAATTGTAACTAGATCTAAACTTTGATCTTAATTTGATAGAAAATTCACCAGGAAATTGACATATACTATGGAAATAGACTTTCAGTTTCAGCCAAAACACTATATCAGAATGTTCTTAGTAAAGTTTGCTGAATTATATGCTCTATATATATATAAGGGTTGGCCAGCTTTCAGTATTCCTTTTTCCATGTTCTATGTTGATCTCGCATTATAAGATAGATGATGAATCCTACGTAAAGGGATGATTAAAGGGTTCGTAAGATTATAGGGAATTAAGAAGAGTACTCCATTACAGATTAATCTTTGAAATTGATTTTATTTATTTAACTTTGTCAAACGGAAGAGTGCAACCAAACGTAAGACTGAACCCCCTTTCAAGCTAATTGGTGCCGTAGATTATAAATTGTTGCTGCTGAAACGAATAATATAGTATCGTGCGTATACGACTTGGGTTTATTTTGACTTTGTCAAACGGGACAGGGGAAGATGAATCTTAACCACATTCTTTTCTTTTTGTTTTCTAACCTAATCCACCCAGTGGCGTCAACCAACCCATTTGAATTATTTAACATAAAAATCTAATTAATTTCATCCTTTCAATGACCACGATTCTACAATTTTTTTTTTTTTTAATCTTGTGGAAGAAGTAAAAGAATGATAATGCAATGGTTGATATAACTAACAAACTAAAGCCTGACCACTACACAGTCTGCACCTACTAATCTGACAACAATTTGTTTGTCTTTTTATATGATATTTTATTGGTATTGTAGGTTTTGTCGTACATACATAAGAAATCAAGATTTTTCATAGGCATCATATTGAAAAACCTTGGGCATACTTCAGTTTTAGATCACTGGAGTCACTGATCCCCTGAAGATGGATTAAACAGCGAATTCTTCAAACTTCGTTGGGTACCTCAAGATGATAATTTGCAGATTGGATCCCCAAGTTCATGTTGGGTTGAACTATATTTAAAATATATAGAGTGGAGAGAGGAGTCGTCTTGACTGCCCGTTTATGACTAAAAATGACATCTCCCATAATTTTATGAATCATAACTTATGCTTAAGTTATTCTTTGAGATTAACCAAAATAATGTGTTAAAAAATTTGAAGTATCCATGTTCATACATAAGGCCGCAAAATAGCGACTCAACTAGATTTAGTCACTACCAGACTGTAGCTTCAGCCCCTTAAATACACGTAAAACAGACCAATTCATACTGATGCAGAGATATGGAATTTGTAATTCTTAGCCAAAGTAGAATCCTGTACTTGTTATTCTTAATAGTCATAATTAAATAAGATTTCTTCCTTATATCTGGTGCTTTCCTTGTTACAGTAAGGGTTGTTACCATTTTCGGATAGATTTATTTCCTTTTCGGATTTTTTAATCTCTTTGGGGTCTCTAGTCCACCTTTACGTACCTCAATCACTTCTTTGATATAGTTTTAATGATTTATTTAAAAAAAAAAAATGGTTTACTACTATAAAGGTTTATTTGTTTTCCTGATAATAAATGGTAGCAGTACTATTCTTGGTAAGTTTGAGAGAAAATCTTGAATAATAAACTTGCTTTGAATTGTTATCATTATACGCTTTTGTGAAAATCAACGAAATTTTGTTCCTATTTCAGTTTCGTTTTTGTTTTCGTATTCTCATTACGAACACAAAAAGCCACAAAAAACAAAGAACAAAGAAGAACCAACTCTCCTGGAAGCAAGCATTCTTTCCTTGCAGTTCTCTACTTCTCATAAGGTAGCCTCCTTGTATAGACCTTGACTCTGCCTTCTCTGAACGCAAAATATTAATATTAATACAATAATATTTCACTTTGAATTATGTGATACACAGATGATAATTATGCTAGCAGTCCATACAATTAATTACCTATGCACCCAACAATAACAGAAATCTATATAAGGAGCTAACCACATCACATGGGCACCATTGTTTTGCTATATATTAGGGCTTCATATATTTTGTCTTAGTCGGTTCTTCAACCCATTCTGTTGCCTATTTTCAAAGGTGGGCAAAGCTAGTTCTTCTATATAAAGTCATCGTCTCAAACGAAAAGTACAAACTATAGAAGAAAAGAAGAGAGAAAGAGGGCTGTGATGGCTAGCTTCCTCTCTCATGCACCAAACATTAGTGACGACAAAGTAAGAGATCACGGGAAGAAAAAGATGAAAAAGGAATTGCTTTGTCTCTAGTTGAAGTAAACCAATAAGTAAAAAAGATCCTTACAAGGGCTTTGATTCCATGTTCACATGTCTACTCTTCGTGTCTAAATATTCTCCAAAAGTTCACGTCGGCATATGCAGTCTGGATTGAAAAAGTGGACAGAGATTACCCAACTTTTCTGGTCTATTTCGTCGTGGACTTACATACAATACTCATATATAATATTCTCTTCATTTCAGAAATCACTGCTTCACTAGAACCTGAATTGGCCTCGTCAAAATGCCAAACAAGTTTATGAAGATAGCAAGGGCCCAGTTCCAGTCCCCGTCTCTGTCCTTTTTCTCTTGTTTCTTTTGATTGTATCATCTCAAGCAGTGAAATTACAAGTTCAAGATAAATATGTAAGTTACTGTAGCATTATTTTTTTGTTATTTTCTTCTTTGCTGTTGTTATATTACGTCCCTGTTGTCTCACTTTAAAGGAAAATGACTTTATGGAAAAAGGTCCTGAAAATAATTTATGTTAATTACCTGTTTAATGGAATCATATTTCCCTATTCAGCCACGTGACATTAATGGTCACACTCATTGCAGGTTGTGATGGATAATGAATTACTCAGGTACAATATCAAATCCACAGGGCATCGTCACTGGAATAAAATTTCGCGGCATCGATAACTTGCTTGAAGTTCGTAATCTGAATGATAGAGGGTACGTCGGCCACAGATCTTTATGACCCTGCTCTGTATCTTGTGTCTTTTGGCCCTAAAAGTGTACCTCAAATGCTCTTAACGATGACATTATAATGTGACAAAAGAACCTTTTAGGCCAGCAATTTAATGAAAATCTCTTAGTTTTGAACTTTGAGACTTTTAACTTCACAAAAATTAAAATTTCAGATGTTAAGTTAAGAAATAATAAGAGGACCATCTTTTATATGCAGTTACTGGGACCTGGTCTGGAGTGAGCAAGGAACCAAAGGGACAAAGGGGACACATTGATAGGTATGTATTCTAGTCTTGGCTGGAATGTCTCATGAAGCCAATTATTAAGTTCTTTTCTCAGGAAAAATAGACATTTATTTTTATATTGCTTCAGAAAAATGCACTTTTTTCTTTTACACCATTTTCTTACATCTGGCATTCCTGATCAATTGGGCTATGTGAGTATATGATATTTTCTAACTACAGAAATCATGTATTATTTGAGTAAAATCTGAATCATAAACCGATTGCAATGCAGGATTGAAGCCACAAATTTTACAGTGATAGTGGAAAAGGAGGAGCAGGTGGAGCTCTCATTTTCCAGGATTTGGAATTCCTCCCTTGAAGGAGAGGTCGTACCTTTAAATATTGATAAAAGGTCTTTTTTTTTTTTTTTTTTTTGTTCCCTCAAACTAATATCTAGTTATTGAAAACAATGATATATCAATTATTAACAAAAAAATGATGATGGGAGTCATTTTCCAGGTTCATAATGCTTCGCGGTTCTTCAGGTTTCTACTCCTATGCTATTTTCGAATACTTGGACGATTGGCCTCCTTTTAACATAGACAATATCAGGATGGCATTCAAGCTCAATCAAGACAAGTAAATAAACCTCTGCTACATTCTTGTGTATCATCGAAATTATTGCATTAGTAGTTTAGAGAATAAGGATTTTCAAATGATCTTCGCCATTGATTATGTGACTCAAAACATAAGGTGAAAAGAATCTAACGATTGCGAGTTTGAATGCACAGCTTTCACTACATGGTCATAGCAGACGACAGGCAAAGATACATGCCACTCCCTGAAGACCGCTCACCAGAAAGAGGTCAAGAACTGGCCTATCCAGAGGCGGTTCTCCTTGTAAATCCTGTGGAACCAGAATTTAAAGGGGAGGTACGTTTTCATAGTTTCTACCTCCATTAACCATAAAGAAAACCTTAGACTACATTGACGCAAAAAAAATTAAGGATGTCAAAGAAGTTAAATCAGAGAGAAGAATTATCAAATTAATATAAAAAATGAGTTCGCTGTGCAAGCAAAAAGGTTGTGGATTTTTTCATGTTTTAGGGGATCATCCTGTTGTGATGCATGTGACCTCAACAAGAAGTTTCAATTTCAGGTGGATGATAAGTACGAGTACTCATGTAGGAGCCAAGATATTTGGGTCCATGGCTGGATATCAAACAAACCGCCTGTGGGGTTTTGGCAAATATCACCTAGTATGGAGTCTCGATCGGCTGGACCACTCAAACAGTTTCTAGCCTCTCATGTCGGCCCCACTACTCTTGCGGTAACTTTTTTTTATTTATTTTCGCAAATCTCCCAATTTTTCTAGTTTATGTGTTGATGTCAATGTTCTTAGGCAGATTAATGAATGTGTAAAATATACATGCTGAATGCAAGAAATTTATAACAAAAGCCTTGATTTTTACCTCTAATATTAATTTTGATTAATATGTTTTCATCAGCTTTTTCACAGTGTTCATTATTCGGGAGGGGATCTGGTACTAAGATTTAAAAAAGGTGAACCATGGAAGAAAGTTTTCGGCCCTGTTTTTATCTATGTTAATTCTCTCTTGGAAGGAGATGATCCACTACAGCTCTGGCAGGATGCTAAACAGCAGGTGGGAAAATCATTTGTGATAATCTATAAACCCTAGAATCTCAACACATTTGAATACCCATTTTAACTGGCTTATCTACTCTAAGTGAGCAATGGCTAATACAAGTTCTTCCTTAGATGATGAGTCAAGTTCAAGACTGGCCCTATGATTTCCCAGCTTCGGAAGATTTTCCTAAATTTGAACAACGGGGCAGTGTCAGCGGTAGATTAGTAGTCCACGATAGGTATCTCCTTGCTACCTATTCCCCATCTTCCAGTTTTCATATAAGTAGCATTATTACAAATAATTAATGCAGGGGAATAAACATACCAGAGGTGAAACTTATTAGTGAACTGGACAAAATTCTTTTCCATGTTTGGTTTGCGAGGTTTAAAGTGATTCCAATAATTTCCCCTAAACCTTCAGGTACGCTAGTAATGAATCCAAACCCGCAGATGGTGCTTACGTGGGCTTGGCACTTCCGGGAGAGGCTGGATCTTGGCAAAGAGAATGCAAGGTAGTGTAATTTCATTACTGCTTTGATATCCATCTTGAGCATTAACATCGGAAAACCCTAACTGAAAATAAATAGGGTCCTTCTCACATAAAACCTTACTGATTAAGTGCAATTTTTTCATCAGGGTTATCAATTCTGGACCAGAGCGGATGAAAATGGCAACTTCTCGATTTATAATATTAGAACTGGCAACTATAGTCTATATGCATCAGTCCCTGGTTTTATTGGAGATTACAGATATGATGCTAACATAACCATAACCGAAAAGTCTAATATTGAATTGGGTGATCTTGTGTATGAACCTCCAAGAGATGGCCCAACATTGTGGGAAATAGGCATTCCTGATCGCTCTGCTGCAGAATTCTATGTTCCGGACCCAAATCCTAAGTATATAAACAAATTATATTTGAATCATTCTGACAGGTTAATTAGCTATCCACTGCCTATTACTTGATATTTGTCTCAATTTTTCATCCTTATGTTTTATAACATGTTTCAGAATCCTTTATCGGGAGAATCTTAAACAGTCTACTGGTGTTATTGCTTTTCCACGTTCATGACCATTTTTTATAATCCAAACTTTTATTTTTTATCAATTTTGTTGGCAGGTATAGGCAGTATGGACTATGGGAAAGATATGCAGAGCTATACCCTGATGGAGATTTGAACTACAAAGTCAACTATAGTAACTATACTAAAGATTGGTTTTTTGCGCAGGTTACAAGGTCAAATTCTTTTATTTTTTTTATCTTGATCTCCTATATGATCATACTTATATTAGTAGCCTATTTACGGTGAAAAATATTAGTGCGAATAAGCAAGCCAAAATCAAACTGGTGTTTGCATTGCAGGAAAAAAGACAATGCAACATACGAAGCAACTACATGGCAAATCAATTTTAAACTTGACAATGTAAACGCGACTGCAACATATAAACTGCGATTGGCCTTAGCTAGTGCCCATGAATCTAACTTGCAGGTAATGAAACGTTAAATTATTTCATCATATGTCCCTTTAAGTTCCATTTTCATGAAAAATTATACGTTTTTCTTTAAAATATAATATATTTGTTCCTTACAGGTCCGGATTAATGATCCTGTGGTAAAACCTGCTCTATTTTCGACTGGGATAATAGGGAAGGAGAACACAATTGCAAGACACGGAATATATGGCCTTTATTGGTTGTACAACGTGGATTTGCCAGGGGCTAAGCTTCTTCAAGGAAATAATATAATTTTTCTTACTCAAACTCAGAGCACCAGCCCTTTCCAAGGGATCATGTATGATTATATTCGTTTAGAAGGTCCTCCCGACTTCTAATTCCACCAGCCATAATTCTTTCTTTTTTCTCATCGCTGCAAATTATTCATCAAATTGTAAATCTGTTGTTTTTGCATTCAAAATAAATGATATTATAACAATTATTTAGCTACAATTAGTTAATTTCATCTTAGTTCTTCTAATTTTTGGCTCGGCTCAATAAGTTGAAGCAATCTCAATTTGCTCGACTTCTATGTGTGGCTTCTGTTTATGGGATCCTTTAACCTTGTTTTGAATGTTGTCTACATATATGTAACTGGAGAACCTTTGTAATCGAAGGTACAGCACCGTCCATGATGCAACAGTCATGGAAATTAAACCCTGAATGCTAACAGAGACATTAATCTTCAACAGCCAAAGGAATTATTAATGAAGTTTATCTTTTCCATATATAGACAAATCGGTATTACTTAAAGCAAAAGCAAAATTTATGACTTCTTAAAATTACAGATTTTCTGAACATCACGTATGCATTCTGATGAGGTTTCGTCGCCAATTAATACATATCCTAGGAGTCCTAAGGTTGGATTATTTATGTCTCACACAAAGTTGATGATTCTGTCTGCTATAGTTAGTGCACATGGCGATTCTTGTACGCCTCTATAATATACTCCAAAAAGTGCTGGTGGCGACTGAGTAAAGAATATACAATTAAGGGAGTCCAGAAAGTAATCTTGGCTTCTAGTTCAAGTAAACCAGCCATGTTCCCTTTTATAAAGCCTTGAAACATACACATTATTTTCTCAACTGATATGACAAGAGAGTAACGAATACATACACATTATTTTCTCAACTGATGTGAAAAGAAAGTAACGAATTTGCTCTAAAATTACCCAAATTGAGATTATCTCTGCACCAAAGAGCTTCCAGGAAACTGAAAATGGCAGCTCCAGGAATGCAATTGCATATCTCTGATCATCATGTACATCAATGCTTTTTATTATTATAAATTACATTCTTTTTCTTGAATATTTTATCTATGCTACCTTGTAAATCCTTTCAAGTATGTTTGTCTTTATTTAACCTTCCCATTCAACTAGGTGGTGATGGAAAACGGCATTCTCCAAATTACTATATCAAAACCAGCGGGACATGTGACAGGAATCAAATGCTATGGCATTGATAATATGCTTGAAGTTCGTAATAAGGAGCATAATAGAGGGTACATGGCATTAGAAACTACTTATCCTTCTTTGTTTTTCTAAAGCTATTTTTCAAATTTTGAAGTATACATTGCAATATAAATCTAGGTACTGGGACGTTGTTTGGAGCGAAACAGGGAGCACTGGAACAACAGGAACATTTGAATTGTATGTCGAATACCTGCATTATTCCCATTGGTTCCACATTATTTGTCATAAAGTTTTTCTTTCTGAATTATATACATGTAAGTTAGTTTCTAAGCAGAAAACCTGATACTATGCAGGATCGACGGAGAGAGTTTCAGCGTCATAGTGGAGAATGAGGAGCAGGTAGAGATATCATTCAAAAGGCTGTGGGATGCATCCGAGGAGGGCAAGCGCGCTCCCCTTAATATAGATAAAAGGTTCTAGCATAATTTTTAGCTTAATAAGGATACAACTAGATAACAATAACATTGATTTTATTAATGAATTTCCAGATATATAATGCTTCGTGATACCTCGGGTTTTTACTCCTACGCCATCTACGAACACTTGGAAGAATGGCCTGGCTTCAACATTCCCCAGACAAGGATTGTTTTCAAGCTTAGAAAAGACAAGTACGCAAATTGCCTTCAGTTTGTTCCATTATAAGATATTTGCCCATACTGATTTGTGCTAACCAAGACCCAGGTCCCTTTCAAATATTATTGGGAATTTTCTGTTCAAATTGTGATCTTTTGCCCTTTGGTTTGGTCTCTTATGAGCAATTGCATGAAGGAAAATTCTAGCCTATACCTCATGTTTTCAGTTTCTTACCCTAGCGGCAAAAATTATGATAGCCAAGTACATGGTTAATGATGCTATGTTTTGGACAAACAGATTTCAGTACATGGCAGTAGCAGATAACAGGCAAAGACACATGCCACTGCCGGACGACCGGCTACCAAAAAGATGCAAAGAACTGGCCCCCCCAGAAGCTGTCCTGCTTGTCAAACCTATAGAGCCAGAGTTCCAAGGAGAGGTATTCCTTCTGCACCTTTTTCCTTCATCATCACCATTGTCATTCAATATTTGCTTTGTCTAATTGTAATGAGTTATATGTCATGTCTAGGTAGATGACAAATACCAATATTCATGTGAGAATAGAGATCTTAAGGTCCATGGGTGGATATGCAATGACCCTCCAGTGGGATTCTGGCATATAAATCCCAGCAATGAGTTTCGATCAGGCGGACCGCTCAAACAGAACCTAACATCACATGTTGGTCCCATCACTCTAGCAGTGAGTTGCTCCTTTAGCCTAGAATTCTTTGAATTCTGGTACTTGGGTGCCATCACTTTCATACCTTCAGATTCTAAATTTTATGGTGTCTGATTAAGTGTACATTTATTAAAAATGCTATAATCAGATGTTTCTCAGCGCTCATTATTCTGGAGAGGATCTGGTACTGAAGCTGAAAGAGGGTGAGGCATGGAAGAAAGTTTTTGGACCTGTTTTTTTCTACGTCAACACTTTGTTGGATACCAATGATCCTCTCTGGTTATGGGAGGATGCTAAAGAGCAGGTCTAATGCACCTACACTGTACCTTCTTTTTTTACGTAATCATAGTACATATACATACACTTCGTACTCTAAACCAAGTTAAAATTTCAGATGTTGACAGAAGTCCAAAGTTGGCCCTATAATTTCCCAGCTTCCGAGGATTTTCCAGGGTGGAATAAACGGGGTAGTGTTAGTGGTAGATTACAAGTCCGAGACAGGTTGGTATTTTATTTGTTTTTTAGGATCTTTCTACCTTTCTGATTTACTGTCTGGCTGTCTTTCGATCCTTTATTTTTTACATTTTTTGATTCAATTTCGTAAACATAGTATTAGTGCACCAACAGTTCATTTCACTGTAACTGATTTTGATCAAATTAGTTTGAATGACTACACTTGCCTAGGTATGTTAGCGATGACTCCATATCAGCCGGCGGTGCTTATGTTGGGTTAGCACCCCCTGGAGAGGCAGGATCATGGCAAAGAGAATGCAAGGTGATCTTTGATCTCTATTCTATTTACATACCACATTCACTGTGAATAAGACACTAGTAAAAGGACTAACATTTTTTTCCTCCAATCTTCATTATTACGGCGCCTATAAATCTACAATGTTTGCTTCAATATTCAAATGAAGATGCACACAGCACAGTTAGGTCGTGTCGAGTTGGTATTCTTGTTAATAACATAGTTTAGATTAATTCTCCAACTTCTGTGTTCTGTTTCTGATCAGGGTTACCAATTTTGGACGACAACTGATGCGAATGGCTGTTTTTCCATCAATGATATACGTATTGGGGACTACAATCTTTATGCATGGGTCCCTGGCTTCATTGGAGATTACCAAAATGGTGCTCTCATTACCATAACTGAAGGTATTGTATATCTTTCAAATATTTCATGTAACTCCTAACTCTTAGATTGTAAAGTAAAATTAATCTGTGATTGGAAAAAAACTAAAGCAGGTTGTGATATTGACCTGGGTGAGCTTGTATTTGAGCCTCCAAGAGATGGTCCCACATTGTGGGAAATAGGCATCCCTGACCGTTCTGCAGCTGAGTTTTATGTTCCAGATCCAAATCCAAATTATATCAACAAACTTTATGTTAACCATCCTGACAGGTTAGCTCTCCGTCCTGAAACTTTAAGAAGTAAATTATCTATAAAACATTGAGCCAAAAAAGAATCTGGGTGGAACTTGAGATTATGATCAAGTCATACTACGGGGCCTCCCTGTCTGCTCCTCCACATGGAGCATGCGTCCAGTTTAATGCCATACTTAGAAAACTTTTTCATTGATGTTATGGAGAGATTGCTGATTTGATCTAAAAGTAGAATCACAATACCCTCTTCTTGGCAGGTTTAGACAATATGGATTATGGGAAAGATATGCAGAGTTATACCCTGAAAATGATTTAGTTTACACCATCGGTGATAGTGACTACAGAAAGGATTGGTTCTTCGCTCAAGTTACAAGGTTTGGCTCTTCCCATATACAAACAATAAGTGACAAAAAATCAAGTTATTTAAAAGAATGACTATGAATTCTTACCCACAAATTTTTTTTTTTTTAAGAAGAACGTTTACTTTCATGAACTTATCCACATTAGAGGCACACAAAGATAACCAACAAGTAATGATAATTGTCCAACCAACATGTAATAATATTTTTCTGTTGTCGTAACACATTTCATTTTCTTTATCATATTGAGCCCCTCACCAACAGATTCCAATCAACACCACAAGCTCTAAGTTTGATTATAGTCATAGATGTTCTACACCTGAAAGTTTGGTTTCAATGCAGGAAAAAAGATGATACCACATATGGGGCAACTACATGGCAAATTAAGTTCAATCTTGACAATGTGGAACAGGTTGGAACCTATAAACTGAGAATAGCCCTAGCAACTGCCAATGTTGCAGAACTGCAGGTAAAGAGCTCAATCGCTCAATTCCTGTTCCACTTCTTGCTACTCCATACTGCATGTGAATTTACAGGTTTGAATATTTTTCTGGAAGGTCCGGGTGAACGATCCACAAGCAGATCCTCCTACATTTACAACGGGACAAATTGGGCATGACAACACAATTGCTAGGCATGGAATCCATGGACTCTACTGGCTTTATAACATTGATGTGCCAGGGGCTCAGCTTGTGACCGGGGATAATACCATCTTTTTGACACAAGCAATAAGCACCGGCCCTTTTGAGGGGATTATGTATGACTATATTCGCTTAGAAGGGCTCCCATCTGCTAATTCTAAAAAGTAAATTTAATTGTTTTTTATTTTAAAGAAATTGAAATCTGAAGAACTTATTATCTTTATATGTGTATTGACATAGAATAAATTTCTATGAGCAGCAATAAATGTGAAAATTAACCACGTATGCTACCTCCCACACTGGTTTCATGCATCCAAAAATGAAAAATTTTCAAGATTATACGGACTTCTACTTGCCAAACTCGGTGGCAAACAACTGAAATCCACTTATCACACAGCCCAATTTCAGTCTCATTTGCAACTCGGACTATAACATTTTATTGGGATTTGAATTGGACTATGATCCACAGAAAACTCTTGGTTACCCTCTACCTCTAAGTCTGGAACAACAATTAGCCAACGGTTTCTTTATCAAGCGGAAAAATATATATAAATGCAGCGATGAAAATTATGTTCTGGGTAATGTAATTGCCATGGAGAATGGCTTAAGTGGAGAATTTACATAGATTTATGAAGTCTCTTCTTGGTATCCTCAGCTTCATCAGCAGCTTCAACCTGCATCTTGGCAGTCTGCAGATCAGCTTCGGTGGCTTCCTTCTCACTTCTGGCTGTCACCTTCTTTGCCTGCACCCATTTTTTTTTTTTTTTTTTTTTTTAATATCAAACAAAACAAAAGAGAAAACAATTCTAAGGAAGGCCATTCAACTAAAATTACAAAGTTAAAACTATATATACCAGACCAACGAAGAAGGCTTTGAAGTAGCGAAAACCTTCCTTCAATGAAGTTGTGAAGTACAGACAATCTACCTTCATGCGTGACATTTCTTGTTTTCTCTTAGTTTCGGTGGCGGTTAATTGCGATTGGTGATGAAGAGGATCTTATCCGATCCTCCATTTTTCATGCTGAGCAACTTTCTTTTCAGCAACTCTCTGTTCACTCTGGTCAATACCAGGTTTACACGTCCGTGCTGCTCTCTACGTGGCCGCTGTTGGCCTGACGCGTGCCATATTTTAGTTTGATTCTTTGTGAAATGACATTTTCACTCTTTTGTCAAGTTAAATGATCAAGTAATAATTAGAGATGTCAATTAAACTTGTTTGATTTACTTGACCTGTAGGCTATAGTTACGTGGGTTTAGTGTTCGGTCTCATCATCGGGGAATTTTTTTTTTTTTTTTTTTTAAATAATTGGAGAGTTAAGGTTAGTTTATACATATTTCAATTTGTTGATGCGTAATTTTGACACCAACTAATTAACATGTGCATAACGTTGGTTGGTCAAGAGATACACGTGGGTATTGATAACGTGTAGAGTAAATGCAGCAATGAGAACTTTTTAAAGTGGTTCGGATGCTAAGGTAACGAACCCTACGTCCACTGATAGTTATATTAGTATTGTGGGTCAGGTCGCAACAACAGACTGACTTACAAATGATTAGGGAAAAGTAAACACAAAGATACAAGAGAGAGAGAGAGAAAGCTAGTTCAGAGTGTCAAAAGGCCGAATCCCCCCAATGAAGAGGTCTTCCCCTTTTTATAGTGAGATGAGTGCAAGTAATCATCATTAAATCTGTGGGTTAGTGCGAATGTCAGGGCAAAATCTGGCTTTACGTCACATTGCCTACCTTCCAAGCCGATTTCACGCGATATGGAGCGGGGAATGGACACCTGGGAGCTCCACAACGTCTGGCAGGCCTGACGTGCGCTTACCGTTCTGACGGGAGCAGGTCACACTCCATCATGTGATTTCCCACGTCAGCTCTTGATTTCCCAGGCATAACACAATTATTTTTTTAGATTTTGAATATTTTATAAATCTAATTGTATATAATATATTTACATACCATATTTCATTTAAACTATATTAAAATTAGAAGTTGTAATATATTGCAGTTGGAGTCAAATTATAAATTAAAAAACTTAGATTGGATAATAAAGAAAAAAAGGGTATGTAAATATGTATGTGGAGTGAGCCTTTGGTATGATAAAAGTACAACTTAATGGTATAGGCTATAGCAAGTGAAGCCAATATTTTATATCTTGTAGAGATTAAATTTACATGGATTGTAATCCTATGCTTTTGAGACTAGAGATATAATATTTCTCATATTGAATAAAAAAAAAAAAAACAAATTAGTATAAGATAAGTGTATGCCCAACCTTGTATAAATATCCATCATATTTATTAACTAAATTAATACAACTTTTCCTTTTACTTGCTAAAGTATTTATTTCAAATAACATCAAAAAGTATAGCTTTTTTAATAAACATGAAGTCTAATTAAATAAGAGAAACATACATTAGAAGAAATATAGTAGAATAAAAATTTTAATCTTAGAAATAAATAAGAAGATAATTTAGTTTAAAAGGGCGTAATATATATATATATATAAAAAGATTCTCCATTTGCAAGTATCAAAATAGTTATTAATGAATACTAATGGGCCTGTTTTGGCCACTTTATCACGTGCTGAGGCATGGACACATTGGTACATGGCATGGTACGTGAGGACATAAAAGTCTTTTGAATCCTCCCAAATCTGTCGCGACTATATATACCTTCATCTACAAAAACTAGGGTATATAAAGCCCCCAATTCTCTCCGCCCAAAAATTCTTCACAGCGAACGTTAAACCAGAACTCAACCATTTCCACCACCACCACACGTCACCTCTAATTAGTAACTTCAATTTCTCCATTCAGTTGTCATTTATTTCATTAATATTTCAGATTCTCGCACTCTTTTTTTTTAGTTTTTTTTTTTTTTTTTTTTTTAATACAATTAAGAATTCGAATCTCGACTTAGATGTGGATTCTATTGACAGATCACGTGCGGAATGGCGACGTTTGAGCTGTACCGGAGGTCGACGATCGGGATGTGCTTGACTGAGACTTTGGATGAGATGGTTCAAAACGGTACGCTTAGTCCCGAGCTGGCTATCCAGGTTCTTGTCCAGTTCGATAAGGTACGGTTATACTATTATGTATAAACGGCTCTGTTTGTGGATGTTTTTGGTTGTTCTTGATGTGATTTATTTTTGTTGGGTTTTGTAGTCTATGACCGAAGCACTGGAAACTCAAGTGAAGAGCAAGGTCTCCATTAAGGTATTTATTTTTATTAATTTTTTTTTTTTAAATAGAAATACTTTAAGTTTAGAGTATTATTCTTAAGTTTATTGATATGTTGTTTAAGTGTTGTTTTTTATTTTTTGGGATTTGTGTTGATGAAAATCTTGGGGGTTTGCAAGTGCATTATTGGCGTGTAAGTTAAGTATTGTCTGCTAGCAATTACATGCTATTGTACATGCAATGATGCAAGAAGCACTTTACATTTCAGTACATTGGGTTTATTTTTATTTTATCTATTGAGATCTGATAGAAAGTCAGCAGTTTAAGTATTTTAAGATTGCAGCATATAATTCCGTGGGTGGAGATGGTAAGTAATAAAAATGCCCACAAGCACCTATATCATGGCACGAAAATAAATGCTAATGATCTTGGACCTATTTTCCTTTTTTAATAACATTAAATTTTATTCTATCTGATTAGTTAGGAAATTTAAAAGATGTTTGTTAATTTTCATTGATATGTGGTCTTGTATCCGTTTGCAACTATCAAGAGAATCGTTTTCCTCCAGATTAGCTTCTTCCCTAGGCTTTTCTAGTGTGAGATGTCCTGTCAAAAAATTGCATTTAACTTGGTCCAGAGAACTTTTAATTACGTGAGCATGAACATTTGAAGGAATATAGCATTGCCATGCCTACTGCTGGAAAAATGCACCAATTCCAGTATTAGTACTGGTAGAATGGTGAATGTGAACTTGCACCGGTATGTAGCTGTTGATGACTAAGTTTGGCAAATACTCGACAGGTTGCCTAGAAGTCATGAACTACTTGGGATACGTTCATGTGGTTAATTACAATAATTATTGGGAAAATCGGTTATTTAGTAATGCTCTTATTTATTGTTGCTTCTGGTATGTTTACTATAATTATTGTTCCTGAAATCTATGTATTTACTCTAAATCGTTGATTGTAATGCTCAGTTTTATTCATAAGGAAATGAGTAATATACATCTGTAATCTCCATGACTGCCAAATTTCTGTTATGGTGGTTGTTCACCCATAAGTCCTTCATGTATTATGAACTTGTAAAATTGTTGTAAAATGTCAATTTGGTGATTGTTGCCTATCATTTCTAGGAAGGAAAACAATTGTTTTAGTTTTTCAACTCACGTGATACATCTGATCAGGAGGATGTTCATAGTGAATTGTGATTGATCTGAACATGAGGGTGTTTCTAGTTTCTGGATTTCACCTTTCAGCCATTTAGCTTTTATTTTTATTTATTGTGCGTCACCAATAGTGTGTGCGTGTATGTGCATGAATGTGGTGGTGTGCATGAATGTGTTTATATGTGCTTGCTTTTATGTGTAAGTATTCCGTTTGAATAAGGAACAGGTCCTTTGCAATGCAATTTTCAATTTGATTAGCAGAAATTAATAACCTGGGTTCTTGCCCAGCTAACCCAAGCTAGCCTTTTATGTTGAAAGCTGAATTTGTTGAACTTTTATTTATTCTGTATTGTACAGGGACATCTGCACACCTATAGGTTCTGTGACAATGTTTGGACCTTCATCTTGCAAGATGCTCTGTTCAAAAACGAAGATACTCAGGAAAATGTTGGTCGAGTGAAAATAGTGGCATGCGACTCAAAGCTACTCTCACAATGAGATGCAGAAGATTGGTGTGTCTGCTGGTGGTAGTGTATGGAAGAAACTGGGAATTAGTCTAATTTCACGGAGGAGCTGGCAATTATAGGAGATAATTGAACATATATTGTAAAGCCATCAACCGATACTACTGGAGTTATTTGATGATACATTGAGGCTGCTACATGCTTATTAGATGATTTTTCTTGGTTCTTCTTTTGTATTTCAAGTAAGATAATGAAGATTAGCAAAGAATTTCCGTGACAAAATCATGGAGGCTATGAATTTATGTTATCATTGGTATTTATTCGTGCTGAGACAGTACATTCTGCCAAAGTCTATGAATTTTAGGAGGCAGTCTACTTTCTTCTATGGGGTAAAACAGGGTAGTCATAGAAATAAAAATGGTTTATGTATATTGCAATAACTCGAGAATTGTGGCCNTATTGTGCTTCACCAATAGTGTGTGCTTGTATGTGCATTTGTGTGGTGGTGTGCATGAATGTGTTTATATGTGCTTGCTTTTATGTGTAAGTATTCCGTTTGAATAAGGAACAGGTCCTTTGCAATGTAATTTTCAATTTGATTAGCAGACATTAATAGCCTGGGTTCTTGCCCAGCTAACCCGAGCTAGCCTTTTATGTTGAAAGCTGAATTTGTTGAACTTTTATTTATTCTGTATTGTACAGGGACATCTGCACACCTATAGGTTCTGTGACAATGTTTGGACCTTCATCTTGCAAGATGCTCTGTTCAAAAACGAAGATACTCAGGAAAATGTTGGTCGGGTGAAAATAGTGGCATGTGACTCAAAGCTACTCTCACAATGAGACGCAGAAGATTGGTGTGTCTGCTGTTGGTAGTGTATGGAAGAAACTGGGAATTAGTCTAATTTCACGGAGGAGCTGGCAATTATAGGAGATAATTGAACATATATTGTAAAGCCATCAACCGATACTACTGGAGTTATTTGATGATACATTGAGGCTACTACATGCTTATTAGATGATTTTTCTTGGTTCTTCTTTTGTATTTCAAGTAAGATAATGAAGATTAGCAAAGAATTTCCGTGACAAAATCATGGAGACTATGAATTTATGTTATCATTGGTATTTATTCGTGCTGAGACGGTACGTTCTGCCAAAGTCTATGAATTTTAGGAGGCAGTCTACTTTCTTTCTATGGGGTGAAACAGGGTAGTCATAGAAATAAAAATGGTTTATGTATATTGCAATAACTCGAGAATTGTGGCCTTTTGACTCCATTTGGATGGTGTACCTATTTCAGGTGTTTTTGGGTACTAATTAGTAATTACTTGATCGCCTCCACGGATCTTTGATGAATATAACGAGAATTGTAGTAGTTCAATTTTTTTTTTTAATTCATAAAAAATTGAGAATGATTTATAAATTACAACTTAAAAAAATTCATCACATTCTCCAAGTCATCAATGTTTATCGACGGCTGAATTAAACGCACCGTTTAACCCACCACCTCCAACTCCAAGTGGGTTTTGTATGAGTGAATGCAATGCAACATGTCCCTCACCCGTTGCAAAAATTTAAAGCGCCTTCGCGTAAACAGAGCGCGCGTTTTTTATCTTTGGCCGTTATTACTTCTTGTCCTCTGCAATTTCCATCGTCAATGACGACTTCGAATCTGGCACTTTTTCCTCGGTGGGAATCAAATTTTCATACGCAAATGCCATCTTTTTGGTTGAAAGTCGGGAAAGAATCTAATTCCTCGAATTCTTTTCCAGGATTCCACCTTCGAATGGCATTTCAATTCTTGCAGACTCCCACGTGCCCTCGTAAGAAACCCTAGCTTTTCTCTTCCTTTTTCTTTTGATCTCTCTAGCTACACTTACACTTTTAACGATAAGAATAGAACACTAGATAATTGACTAAGATTATTATTTAACATAACCATTGCAAGGTTCTGCGAAACCTAAAAAGATAATTAAACAAGTAATTGGTGGACGTAATTTTAATCAACTAGTGGACGCATATATTACAAGTTATTGCATAATGTTTTGATGAGTCTTTGACACTTATAAATAGAGTATTTCTTTTTCAATCAACTGTTGTTCACAAACAGTTTTGAATGGCGACCTCTAAGGACAAGCAGGTTCCTCGAGTTCATCATTTTGAGCTCGTGGAAGGCATAAAGCTTCAGGTAGTAGGTTCAATATTTGTCTCAAATTTATGGTTATTTGTTAATTGGAAGAAAGTTGTGATTTTTTTTTCTTTTTTAATTTTCTTTTGTATTTTTTGAGTCCTTAGATAAATGTGTCTGGATCTTCAACTATGCGCAATGTAAGAGTTGAATTTCAACTTAAGAATTGTACGCGGACTTGGATTCTTCACTGGGGTTTTCTTTACCATGGAAACACGTAAAACCGAATCGCAATCTAGTATTTCAATTACAATTTATTTGTGCACTCAATAAATTTTTTTGATTTATAATTTCCTTATACAGGAGCTGGTATATCCTGCCGAACATCCTAAGCAAGGTGCATTGCAAACACCATTTATTAAGGTCTATCTTCATTCTACTTTCATTTTCTCCTCGCTGGTTTGGCTGTTATATGTGTTTTCAGAATAAGGTTCATAAATAACTTTGACCATGAAACTTTTATTTAAATTGCACGAGTGGAGAAGCATATGTAGTCGCTATTGAGTTGCGGGATCCCAAGATACACGCCATTGAATTGTTTTGAAGGATGGCAGTCATGACAGATGGTGTGCTGTGTAATAATCAGCTTAGCTTTTTATTTGACGCATTGGGTGTTTGAGCATGTTGAACCTTTATGAAAATGTTTTACTTGCGTTTAGGTTAAGATTAAACCATGGGAATTTTCACATCAAGATACCTGGATTGATGCAAATACTTCTCATACCCATACCAAAGGATTTAATAGAGCGCAAAGCACTTCAAATCTGGGAAAGTAAGGGAGGCACACAAGCTCGCCACAACAACAACAGGTGATATTTATCCCCTAGATACAAGATTCACATTAGTTATATAGGTATATTACTGTCATGGCTCACAAATTCTGCTCCTTATGGTGTTTATTGGATCATATGGTGCAATGGGTAGACCAAGCTCTTAATTGATTTTGGAAACCCTTGACATTGTCTCTTACTGTTTACAGGAAGTCCGAATTTTCTTTTTTTCAGAATCAGCACAATTCTTTATGCATTGTCAGGAAAACTTAGCAGTAGAAGGCTTTTTCTTTTATGCATGATGTCATTGTCTTACCATAACAGTGTGAGTAGCTTTTTGGCTCACACATTAAATTTGAAAAAGGGAATCCCTCTTTTGCATGGTGCCCCTGCCCAGACTTTGGGCCTATGTCTACATAAATTTGAATAACTTCTTTTTTTATTTTATTTCCAGAGCAGTTAAATTACCAGGGATGCGTTTTTTAGTACATGGTTTGTTTCAATCGCAGATTCATTCCACCATCTTTGTATGCTCCCAAAGGTTTTTAGCCTGGCATTATTAGACATTTGGTTCCACTTGGCAACCTGTGCTTGATAGCAATCTGTTAGCCTAGGATGTGCAAGTGCGTGATATCAGCAATATTACCTGTGTTTATGTTGATGATTTAGAAGGTTGTAATCTTCTAAATTTGTCTATTCTTTGCAACCAAACCCCTACTAAATTTCTGTGCATTGGATTCAGGGATATTAGAACTCTGATGCATCCTGATGCACCTCAGAGAAATGTCAGTTCAGTTGGTATTGATAATTTTCTTTATCCTGTAACTTGATGCAGCAAGATTTTAATGATGCTTTGAGAGAGCTTCAATGTCAACTGTTGAAGGGAATTTCCTTTAATGAGTTGCAAAGTAGTTGTATGACTACATGTACAAAGACAGTGTCCGATAGTAGAGAGCAATTCAGATATGAAGTACCACCCTCTTCTTGCAGGAGACTGGATGTTGAAAAGTGGTTGCAAAAGCATTCTGACGGACATGCCAAAAGCTCCACTATTCCATCATCAACTTTTGCGGATCTTGTGGAGAAATCTGTTGGAGGAGATAATGTGATCTCACAAGAAAATTATCTATGTGGCAACTATGAAATAGTGGTTAGTATTCTTTGTGATAAGGAATCTCTATTACATTCAAATAGATTATGTGTTGGCGTGGCTTCTAAAATACTAAACATAATTTTTAAAGCAAGAAGGTAACCTTTGTTGTTTGGCTGCACTTTAAAATGAGCATATTTTTCATTTTTACCCTAGGAACCTCAATTGTATCTACTTGAAGATATTCAAATTTAAGCTTATTTTGAAAGCTTGTTTATCAGCTTGGAATAAAAAATCTTAAAATACCCAAAATACTCTTTTATATTATTTTTATGATCAACAAGTAAATATAATCAATAACCTTTTACAAACAGTTTTACTAATGAAAGCTCCACTTGGAACCGTTCCAAATAAAATTTGTGAATGGAAACGACTTCATCTTGTGCAACTTATGTGTAATTAGGTGAAGATATATTTCCTCTAATTGGTCGCAATATATTAAAAGTTTTAACCTAGTATATATTATTACCATTGATACTCCATTATGCGGGAGAAATAACGTGTATGGTATAGCATTTTGTGCTTCTAAAAGGATCTTCTCCCTTTTTTGATGAGAATTGATTTGGTTTCTTAGATGAAATATATAGTGAAAAATGGGTGTCAGTTTGTATATGATGGGAGTTGTCAATTTCCTAATAGACAAGTTCTGATATTACCCTCTTGTTTCCAAATAAAATTGAGTACAATCCTACACAATCTGATTGTTATCTTAAAAGTCCATTCTTCTCATTGACTGCTGTTGAGTTCTTTGCTATGTACAGGTCCTGTCAAAAATTGTTCGCAGTGACTATCACATTTTGGTTACCGTGAACATGAAGGGTGTTACAGTTCTTCACTGGGGTTTATCAAAGTTGTCTCGAGAGGAATGGTTGGTAAGTAACTTTAGCCTGATTTTGTACGATATGCATCTTGACGAACATATGAATTGAGCATAAAAAGTTGTTTAGCCTTAGTTAGTTAAATATTAATTTATTCATAGTCATCTTTCTTCACTCATTGCAGGCCCCTCCATCTGAAATATTACCTGAAAAATCAAAAATGGTTGCTGGAGCATGTCAGACATATTTTACAGACATATATACTGGAAAAGGATCCTTTCAGGTAACTGACACAAACAAACTTTTTATTAATACTCCATACTTTCGTTCTCTCACTCTTCCTTCTTTTTGAATATCTCTATACCCCATTTAATTGTATTAATTAAACCCCTTATCTCCCAACACTAACAAACACACACACACATACACACACAAAAAAAAAAAAAAGGTTGTAGATATTGATTTGCAGAAGAAGAAATTTGCTGGTATTCAGTTTGTGATTTGGTCTGGTGGTTCTTGGATAAAAAACAAAGGGGCAAACTTCTTTGCAGTCTTGCACCCAATGGATCCAAATGGAAAGGTAACTTTTTTTTCCTCTTCTTTATAAGTTACTTATATTATTACCATGCCAGTGCACCTCAGAAATTTAACTAATTTGACATGGTTCCATTTGTTTTTGCAGATGCATGAATCTAACGTACATATAGAGTTCAAAAACTCAAGTTTTTTTTTTTTTTTTTTTTTTACATGAATCTAATTTTGAAATGCATGCCTGGCCATAGCTTTTATGGACTATGTCTATCTCTGTTAACATACTGTTATCCAACATATCTACTCTATTGACATTACATTTCAAGTGGCATAAAACCAATCAAAGTAGATAGAAAAGTTTTTCCTTTGCTTTCTGCTCTCATTAGCCATACTGTAGAAATCCAATTGGCTCACAAATTCTGCTCCTTATGGTGTTTATTGGATCATATGGTGCCAATGGGTAGACCAAGCTCTTAATTGATTTTGGAAACCCTTGACATTGTCTCTTACTGTTTTTACAGGAAGTCCGATTTTTTTTTTTTTTTTTTTTTTTTAAGAATCAGCACAATTGTTTATGCATTGTCAAGGAAAACTTAGCAGTAGAAGGCTTTTTCTTTTATGCATGATGTCATTGTCTTACCATAACAGTGTGAGAGTAGCTTTTTGGCTCACACATTAAATTTGAAAAAGGGAATCCCTCTTTTGCATGGTGCCCCTGCCCCAGACTTTGGGCCTATGTCTACATAAATTTGAATAACTTCTTTTTTTTATTTTATTTCCAGAGCAGTTAAACTACCAGGGATGCGTTTTTTAGTACATGGTTTGTTTCAATCCGCAGATTCATTCCACCATCTTTTGTATGCTCCCAAAGGTTTTTTAGCCTTGGCATTTATTAGACATTTGGTTCCACTTAGCAACCTGATGCTTGATAGCAATCTGTTAGCCTAGGATGTGCAAGTGCGTGATATCAGCAATATTACCTGTGTTTATGTTCGATTGATTTAGAAGGTTGTAATCTTCTAAATTTATGTCTATTCTTTGCAACCAAACCCCTACTAAATTTCTGTGCATTGGATTCAGGGATCATTTAGAACTCTGATGCATCCTTGATGCATCCTTAGAGAAATGTCAGTTCAGTTGGTATTGATAATTTTCTTTATCCTGTAACTTGATGCAGCAAGATTTTAATGATGCTTTGAGAGAGCTTCAATGTCAACTGTTGAAGGGAATTTCCTTTAATGAGTTGCAAAGTAGTTGTATGACTACATGTACAAAGACAGTGTCCGATAGTAGAGAGCAATTCAGATATGAAGTACCACCGTCTTCTTGCAGGAGACTGGATGTTGAAAAGTGGTTGCAAAAGCATTCTGACGGACATGCCAAAAGCTCCACTATTCCATCATCAACTTTTGCGGATCTTGTGGAGAAATCTGTTGGAGGAGATAATGTGATCTCACAAGAAAATTATCTATGTGGCAACTATGAAATAGTGGTTAGTATTCTTTGTGATAAGGAATCTCTGTTACATTCAAATAGATTATGTGTTGGCGTGGCTTCTAAAATACTAAACATAATTTTTAAAGCAAGAAGGTAACCTTTGTTGTTTGGCTGCACTTTAAAATGAGCATATTTTTCATTTTTACCCTAGGAACCTCAATTGTATCTACTTGAAGATATTCAAATTTAAGCTTATTTTGAAAGCTTGTTTATCAGCTTGGAATAAAAAATCTTAAAATACCCAAAATACTCTTTTATATTATTTTTATGATCAACAAGTAAATATAATCAACAACCTTTTACAAACAGTTTTACTGATGAAAGCTCCACTTGGAACCGTTCCAAATAAAATTTGTGAATGGAAACGACTTCATCTTGTGCAACTTATGTGTAATTAGGTAAAGATATATTTCCTCTAATTGGTCACAATATATTAAGAGCTTTAACCTAGTATATATTATTACCATTGATACTCCATTATGCAGGAGAAATAACGTGTATGGTATAGCATTTTGTGCTTCTAAAAGGATCTTCTCCCTTTTTTGCTGAGAATTGATATGGTTTCTTAGATGAAATATATAGTGAAAAATGGGTGTCAGTTTGTATATGATGGAAGTTGTCAATTTCCTAATAGACAAGTTCTGATATTACCCTCTTGTTTCCAAATAAAATTGAGTACAATCCTACACAATCTGATTGTTATCTTAAAAGTCCATTCTTCTCATTGACTGCTGTTGAGTTCTTCGCTATGTACAGGTCCTGTCGAAAATTGTTCGCAGTGACTATCACATTTTGGTTGCTGTGAACATGAAGGGTGTTACAGTTCTTCACTGGGGATTATCAAAGTTGTCTCGAGAGGAATGGTTGGTAAGTAACTTTAGCCTGATTTTGTACGATATGCATCTTGACGAACATATGAATTGAGCATAAAAAGTTGTTTAGCCTTAGTTAGTTAAATATTAATTTATTCATAGTCATCTTTCTTCACTCATTGCAGGCCCCTCCATCTGAAATATTACCTGAAAAATCAAAAATGGTTGCTGGAGCATGTCAGACATATTTTACAGACATATCAACTGGAAAAGGATCCTTTCAGGTAACTGACACAAACTTTTTATTAATACTCCATACTTTCGTTCTCTCACTCTTCCTTCTTTTTGAATATCTCTATACCCCATTTAATTGTATTAATTAGACCCCTTATCTCCCAACACTAACAAACACACACACACACACACACACAAAAAAAAAAAAAAATAAAGGTTGTAGATATTGATTTGCGGAAGAAGAAATTTGCTGGTATTCAGTTTGTGATTTGGTCTGGTGGTTCTTGGATAAAAACAAAGGGGCAAACTTCTTTGCAGTCTTGCACCCAATGGATCCAAATGGAAAGGTAACTTTTTTTTCCCTTCTTATAAGTAACTTATATATTACCATGCCAATGCGCCTCAGAAATTTAACTAATTTGACATGGTTCCATTTTTTTTTGCAGAGCATGAATTAACGTACATATAGAGTTCAAAAACTCAAGTTTTTTTTTTTTTTTTTTTGTTCATGAATCTAATTTTGAAATGCATGCCTGGCCATAGCTTTTATGGACTATGTCTATCTCTGTTAACATACTGTTATCCAACATATCTACTCTATTGACATTACATTTCAAGTGGCATAAAAAACAATCAAATAGATAGAAAAGTTTTTCTTTGCTTTCTGCTCTCATTAGCCATACTGTAGAAATCTGCGTATGATGATCAAACATGCATCAGTCACTCCCATCCCTCATTCCTTAAGAAGTGAGTTGTGTTACATATGTTTGTCTTATTGAATAATGATGAGAACCTGACCTGAACTTATCAATTACACTACAAATAGGTACAGTTCCAATCCCACTCACAATCAAAACAAGCATTCTCTATAATGGCAATGAAACAGTTAGATCGGAACTAATCAGAGTCTATACTACTACAATGACCCACAACTGATGATCCAGTAAATAAGCTAAACTCAATACAGAAGAAAACAGAAATATAATATTGACTTCGAGGGTCAGTCACCTCCCCTATCCAACCTTACTCAACTTTTTCAATGCCTCTCCCTTTTCCCTTCTTCCCCTTTTATTCCCTCCTGGCCCTAAGTTTATTCATAACAGAATTTCTCTCTCTCCACTCTCCCTAGGCCACCTGTCCCTTCCCAACAAATTCTTCTAACCTCCTAAATGTCAATTATTCCCCTGCTTCTTACTCTACTTCTTCCTACGGTAAACCTTCCCCTTTGGTTGCTCATCAAATAACAATTAATATTAAAAACTTAAGCTTATGGAAAAATAACCATCATTTTCAAAGTCTAACACACCCCTTATGTGCTTACCTGAATTTAATTAATGGATTGTGCATCCCGAGAAAAGCCAATATCCTAATGACATATGTGAAAGCTTTCCTTGATTTGTCCCTGACTGGAATAATTTCAAAATAGGTTCATCTCTGTCCCCTTGAATGCTTTATAAATGTTAATTTCGTTGATATTACATTTAAGGTGTGGTGAAAAATTATTGCTTTTTTTTATATATTCTAGTATTTAGCTAGGTGGATTTTTTCATTTTGTTCTATTGCACTTTATCTTCTAACCTATGTGAGAGTACTCTGGTATTTGCAGTCTTTCAACTGTGAAGTTATTAATGCAAATTATATCAATAAGAAATTGAAGAATGCTTTTTTCAGGTTGATGGGAAAGGGAAAGGAATTGTAAAATGGTTACTTGATGAAATATCTAAAAGAGAAAAAGAGGCTGAGAGATCATTAATGCACAGGTAATTTTAAATAGGAAGTAAAGGACACCATAATTAACTTTAGGTATGTTTATTTTAGTAAATCCACTGTATAGCATTGCTTTGTATCTGATTCTATTTATATGGGCTCAAGAACACTGTAAAAAGTTAATATTTGACTTCGCAGGATAAGCAGACAGTGTATGTACTTGTCTCCTTCAAATGGTTTTGCACCAAATGTACTTATTTTTTTCACTGATGCAGGTACAATATTGTGACAGAGTTGACAGAACATTGTAAAGGTGAGGGTGAACTGGGGCTCATCGGTATATTGGTTTGGTTGAGGTTCATGGCATGCAGGCATCTCACTTGGAACAAGAATTACAATGTGAAACCTCGGTAAAAGTTGTACTTTTCTATTTTTATCAAAGACTTTCTGATGCATCTCGACTTTTTAATGGTTGTGATGCATTCTATTTCATATCCTTGTCTAGTTATTAGTTTTAAAATAACAGAAGTTTGACAACATAGCATGATTGGTGTTACATTTTTTTATCATTTGGTTAAATTATTGGTGTTATGACTGATTCTTTCCTACTTTTTCAAGCTTTAAACAAGTAGAATAATGTTACATTTCTATCCATTAGATTTTCACAAAAAAGGGGCTTCTACCCAACAACTTGGCAGGACCGTTACTGTCCTCGAGTACTTGCAGATCTTTTTCTGATAAATAAAATTACTTGTAGATTATGGTTAAGTTGGTAACTGCTCTCTTCTTGAGGAGTTTGCTGAAATTTGAATTTGGTTTTATGAGTACTAGTATCTAATTTTTAAATTAAATGTTCTGTTTAATTGGAAAGTAAAACAATGCTACTCAAGGGAAAATAGGTTCTTAATCTTCTGTGGCGGGCAAGTTGATAGGGAAATCTCAGCAAAACACTTTGGGAGTTACTCAAATACAAATAACAATATTCAGTCAATTAAATTAGATAAATTTCATTGTCCTAGATAGAATTGTAACTATATTTAGGCTTTATTATGTCAGATTAATTCTTGTTCTCTGTGGGTCAATCATGTGTTCACCCTTTCCCCTCTTCCGTACTTCATGTCGATCTTATTATACTTGTTTGCCTTTTATATGCTTGAGTTTTTTCTAAGTGATAAAGCTACAGTTAGGTATGAAAATTATCTTTGACCTGAGAGTTGATTTGCACTGTTCCAGATAATATATTTATTTAGTTCTATGTTTGCACTGTATTTGCAGTGAAATTAGTGAAGCTCAAGATAGGTTCACCAATTTACTGCAAAAAATATATTTGAGCCGGCCAAATGATCGAGAAATTGTGAGACTAATGATGGCATTTGTTGGTCGTGGAGGTCAAGGCGATGTTGGGCAGAGAATTCGTGATGAAATACTTGTCATTCAGGTGATTTTAACTGACCATTCTACATAATTAGTTTCGTGTTCACCCAACTTCCAAACTTAAGTTTTCCTTGATTTTTTACCATCAGAGAAATAATAACTGCAAGACTGGCATGATGGAGGAGTGGCACCAAAAGTTGCACAATAATACTAGCCCTGATGATGTGATAATTTGCGAGGTAATGGATCTATGTTAGACAAAACACTTCTTAAAATACTTGGATTGGACCTCTATCCAGGTAAAACAATCAAGTGGTCAATATTTGGATTGGAATTAGTTCATATATGTATAATTTTTTAATTTGAATAGATATACATTTGCCCTGGGAATCCATGGGCAGGGTTAGTCTCTAGAAAGTCAAAGTGAATCTAGTCAAAATGGAATTATGGTTGTGCAGATGTTTTAGGCCCCTTAAGGTAGTTATTTCTTGTTGACATTGAGTCAATATTTACTAATTTTATGTTTTCAATGATTTAAGCAAGTTAACCCAAGAAGCGAACAATATGAGCCAAGACCGAAACCTGCTGAGGAACCTTGTCCATTTTACATGTAACTGGCTGGAAAGGACAGATCTGATAAATAAATACAGAGTTATCATTCGACTTCAATAATGGTTTCTTTTGTGACAGGCCCTCTTAGATTATGCGAGATGTGGTTTCAAAATAGATGCTTATTGGAGAACATTAAATACTCATGGTCTCACAAAACAAAAGCTTGCAAGTTATGACCGTCCTATTGTGTCAGAGCCTCGATTCACAACTGATGCTAAAGAGGGTCTCATCCGTGACCTGACAATGTACTTGAAGACGCTAAAGGTATTATATACGATCTGGACGTGACACCAATTTCTTTGTGTGATTATTTCCTGCTTCTCCACTGACATTCGTTTGCTGATATTGACTTAAATGGTAGTTCCAACTCCAAATCTGCATATTATATTAGCCAGTGTTTGTATGTGATCACTGACATAGTAATAGGGCAGTAAACTAATTTAAAGACATTTTCCTTGCTGAACTCTTGAGAACCTTTTGCCTCATATGAATCAAATACGAAGAATACTTTGAGGGGCGCGAAGCTCAAGATATAGTGATAGTTTATAGGGGGCTTCCCCAAAACCCCACCAGTCTTTTCTGTTGTTAATACATCATATTGTAATCACTATTGGTGTCCACTATGTCTATTTCTTTTTGGAAATTTAAATATATATATATATATATATTTGAAAGCCCGAGTCTTGCAATAACATTTGAAGAAATGTCTGTTTTCAGATGGTTACAAGCTTAATGTTGATTTATGGGTTTTCTTTACAAGTGAAGCTAAAATTTGTTTACATGCTAAAATTATATTAAAAAGCCTGAGTACCCATGCATAGCACATCCGACTAGAACAAGGTACATTATGTCATTAGAAAGTCCAATCTTTCATTTAAATTTATCTGAATCATATACTGAATGGCCATGCCACAGGCTGTTCATTCAGGTGCTGATCTTGAATCTGCTATTGAAACTTGTTTGAGTTCCTCCTTCAAGGTAAACACTTTGATTCTAATCAAATTACCTTTTTTTACTATTCAACCTCATTTTCTTTCCCATGGCCATTCTATTTTGAGTTTCTTACTATAGAGATTACCTTTTACCTGTTGGTATTTCAGGGTCATGTTTCAGTCGGAATTGGTAATTTTGGTGGTTTATCTCTAAAGTTACAGGTATTATCCATCTTTTGGATTTCAACTAAATTTATTTGTCAAAAATTTCGCTTGTGTTGTTATTTTTCCTTAGCGATTTCTAGAAATGTATACATACATAGGCATGTACATAGGTGTGTGTACATTATTCGAAGATCAATTTTGAAGGGGAATAACTCATGTTACTTCTTGTCAAATGATAGGAGTGCTTGAAGTTTATCAAAGAGCATATTCATGATGAGAATATTGGTCGACTGATGGAGGTCATACTTTCTGGTGCAAATTTTTGTTTTATGGTATTTTAATGAAAGAAGTATCTTTATGTTGTTTGATTTACTTCTGTAGAAATTACTGGAATCTCGCATTGAGCTTCGCCCTGTTTTGTGCACGGCTCATGGAAGAGCAAGAGACTTACTCTTCCTCGACCTTTCTCTGACTTCAACTATTAGAACAACAATGGAAAGGGGGCTCAGACATCTCAACTTCACTCATCCACCAGTATTTAATTTTTTTTTTCTTTTCTTTTAATAACAATACTTTGGTATATATTTGATGAATATATTTAAATGTGTCGTTAACAACACTATTGTTGGTGCCCTTATTTTAGGTCATCGTGAAACAGGAAATCATGTTCTTCATTTCCTTGTTGCTTGAAAATGTATGCCTGTCAATGGTCAATAATGAAGATCTCATTTACTGCATGAAGGTATGTCTGTCCTTTAGCCTCAGAGCTTCTCTAACCCATTGCAGTTGATGTAATGTGCCCAATGGTTATGATTTTCTTCATATATATTATTCACTTAAATCAAAATTTCTAAGTTATTTCATCTCTTGACTTTAAAGCTTAATAAGTTTCTAATTGGTTATTACGCTGTTCCAAAGGATTGGCACCGAGTCTGTGAATCATATAAAACCAATGATGTTCAGTGGGCATTACAAGCAAAGGCTATTCTTGACCGATTGCAGCTAGTACTTGCTGAGAGGTCTCAGAATTACCAGAAAAAGATCCAACCTAGTGTCAAATATCTTGGTAATTTGCTTGGTGTTGAGAAATCTGCGGTATGTAACTATTCTTTGACCACTATTTAGCTTAATAGAAGTCAACACTAGTAAGATTACTGTTTCAAGTTTTCCTGAGTTAACTTGTTGAATGATTTACTTTTATACGCTTTTGGTTTGGTTACCAGATTGACAGTTTCACTGAGGAGTTGGTCAGGGCAGGACCAGCAGCTGTTCTATCTACGCTCATTAACCATTTTGAACCTGTTCTTCGGAAAGTTGCAAATTTGGGCTGGTAATCACTGAATTTTCCCATTTATGTTGAATGATCAGTGGAATTGATCCGGTTGTGAAATGTTTTTATTACAGATTGAATTTTAACAAAGTGCTAAAGTTAGTGTCTTGGCAGTTGGCAGGTCATCAGCCCTGTGGAAGTGTGTGGTTTTATAACTTGTGTCAACGAGTTAATTACTGCTCAGAACAGAGTTTACAGAAAGCCTACTGTTATTATTGCACATAGAGTAACTGGAGAAGAGGAGATTCCAGAAGGTGCTGTTGCAGTGCTAACACCTGATATGCCAGATGTTCTATCTCACGTCTCCATCAGAGCAAGAAATAATAAGGCATATTCATTCAACTCGCTTACTGAACTTTCAATGATAAATTCCTGTTTAGTCAAAATGGGAATGCTTTTATCATATATATTGATAGAGTTGTATGACAGGTATGCTTTGCAACATGCTTTGATCAGAATATTCTGAGAAACCTCAAGTTGAAGGAAGGTAAAGCTGTATCTATACAACAAAAGTCCACAAATTTGATCATTCGGTAAGCCACTCAAATGATTGCTCAATTCGTAATCCTCTATACCAACTTACCATGCAAATTCACTGTTTTTATTCACTTGCAGTGACATGAGTAGCTCTGACCTATCTCTTAATTCTTTTATGACGCCATCCATTCCTCAAGGAGTCAACTTTAAAAGGAAAATTTTCTGTGGCAAATATGCCATTTCAGTTGATGATTTCACCGATGAGATGGTAAATTAATTAATCATAATCATTAACTTTTTATATTGCTCAATTTGGAAGAAGAGATTTGCTTATTTACCCGCTTAAGTGTGTTTGGGCTTGTAGCAGAAAATGAACTTAAACAATCAAGTGTTTGTGTTCTTGATTGTTTGCTGATGAATTCACCGATGAGATGGTAAATTCATTAATCATAATCATTAACTTTTTATATTGCTCAATTTGGAAGAAGTGATTTGCTTATTTACCCGCTTAAGTGTGTTTGGGCTTGTAGCAGAAAATGAACTTAAACAATCAAGTGTTTGTGTTCTTGATTGTTTGCTGATGAATTCTTCACTTCAAGCTCTACATGTAATAATTACCAATTGCATCACAAGCAAAGTTTTGAAATATAAAGGCATTGTAAAGTTGATGTCTTTTCAACTGATTGTGAAGATGATTTTTTAGTGTGGAAGCAGGGCATTAAACTGCTTCAAAGTCCTCTAAACTTTTCATTTTGTATTTTTGAATTTTTGATTGCATGTGAAATTCACTTATGCTTGTTCAAAAGAAAAAGTAATTGGAAATCAGTCAAATTAGAATTTATATTTGTCGCATTTTGAAATTTTTGGTGGAAGTCTGGTATAGTGAAACAAAAGTATGTGATTATATTCATCTTTCTATTGCATAGATTGGTGCAAAATCTTGCAATATCAAATTTTTAAGAGGAAGGGTCCCATCATGGATTAAGATTCCTATGTCAGTTGCCATACCATTTGGAGCATTTGAGAATGTTATATTGGAAGATGTCAATAAGGTACTGTTCTCTTATTTTGGGAAACTACTGCTCTCCATGATCCTGAATATTTGTGCACAACTAAATTTTAATGGTGCAGGACATTGCAAACAAGATTTCCCTTTTCTACAAATTTGTAAACGGTGGTGACCTTTCAAAACTCCAAGCAATACAAGAAGCTGTTCTACGAATGAGTGCTCCACCATCCTTGGTAGTTCCAAATGTTCATTAAATTTTTTATTGACAATTTACTAAACCTACCTGTCTATTTTTAAACTGTACTTTTTTCACTACCATGATCCTTACATACTGCTACTGCAATCTGTAGATTCACAAAGGTTACTTTTTATGATATTTAATTGTTGGAACATAAATCTTTCAAGGACAAAACATAATTGCAATGATTGATTTTCAAAAATAAATAAATAAATGAGAAGTGGGAACTCTTTCCCAATTTTCCTTGTATCAATGCTTTCCATGTTTGCTAGTTTTTGCAACACATCCTTATAACATTTTTATAAAAATAAATATAAAAATAAATAAATTTTACGAGAGACTGAACTTGTTGGTAGATCCATGAGCTTAGGAGCAAAATGAGAAGTGCTGGTATGCCCTGGCCTGGTGATCAAGGTGAAGAGAGGTGGAATCTTGCTTGGCAAGCGATAAAAAAGGTATTAATGTCAAGAACCTGTGCTAAATTTTGGATGATAAGCATTTTGAGTCGATGTATGATAGAAAAATTTATGTGGACAATGGCATTGATCCCATTTTGTAAAGATAATGCATCTTCTCTATGCTTTGCAGGTTTGGGCTTCAAAGTGGAATGAAAGAGCATTTATTAGTTGCAGGAAAGCTAATTTACATCATAACAACCTTTGCATGGCTGTACTGATTCAAGAAATTATCTGTGGGGATTATGCTTTTGTTATTCACACAAAGAATCCCTTATCAGGGGATAACTCGGAGATATATACAGAGGTAGTTTTTGCCACTTTTTTGCATTAATGATTGTAGTAGCATCCATCATATTTCTTCTCTTGGCGGAAAAACAGATTGTGAAAGGCTTGGGAGAGACTTTGGTGGGTGCCTATCCTGGTCGAGCTATGAGCTTCATTACCAAAAAGAACAATCTAAAATCTCCTTTTGTAAGGCAGACTTCTCTTCAAACTTACATGAAAAAGCACACAATATCCATCTGAAATTGGCTACTTCCCCCTCCCCGAATATTCCACTAAAGCAATTCATATACCTTCGTTTACATACTACTAAGATAGTATGAATCGTCACTTTCAGGTTACTGGTTATCCAAGCAAGCTTATCGGGTTATACAGCAGGCCATCAATTATATTCAGATCAGACTCAAATGGTGAGGATCTTGAAAAATATGCAGGCGCTGGGCTTTATGACAGGTTGGTTGTGGAGTTACATATTTATTTTGGTGTAAACATGAAACATATATAACATTCATCTTTAAGCCCTGGACTCAGACTAAAAACATTGGAAAGTCATCTAGGTGTTGCATATCTTCCGACTTCGAGGGGTTTAAAGACTTAAGAGTGCATGAATTTGAGCCTACTTTTGATGTTTCAAATTGGGCTAATGGCAGAGTATAACTATTTCATCATGCGGATTTCATTTATATTGGACCTAAGTGGTCGACAAGGTTAATATTAATAGTGGTAATCCTTCGGCATGCAAATGACATTTTACTGCTAGTGAGATCGGATGCAGGATCATCAGCCATCAGTTCCTCTAGAGCATTATATAAACAATCACCGAAGCAAGTTTTCTCCTTAGGCACTTGCAGTAGGCTTCACATACTCTTCCAAAAGTCCTGTCTAATTTGTCGTCCAAACTTATTGCAGTGTAGCAATGGATGAACAGGAGAGAGTGGTGTTGGACTACGCCCGTGACCGACTGATAGTTGATAAAGCTTTCCAACTCTTACTCTTTTCAAGAATTGCCGAGGCAGGGAAAATCATAGAAAACCTTTATAGTTGTGCCCAGGACATTGAAGGAGTGGTAAAAGATGGAGTAATATATGTAGTCCAGGCAAGGCCACAAATCTAGAATAAGCAAGGACATGGTGTCCATTTCGGAACACCTCGGTTCATTGGTACTAGGAAGTTGAAGGGTAAGCTTGTGCAGGCAAAACTTTGTGCTAACTGGGCGAGGCTTGGAGCTCAAACTAGAGGGGCCGCCAATAACTTATGTTGTGTAACCTACTTTAAGCTTTTATGAATAAGGTTTACTTTGTAAACAATTCATTTTTTGTCCACCATATTATACAAGTAGTATAAATCTATAATATTTAACAAGATTGATTCTATGGCATTAGAATAGTAATCCGGTGTTGAGATAGGTATTAAGAGCAATAGAAGAAGATTATCCTATTTTTATTTAATGGTGGACATCCCTTTTGAGTTTTTTTTTTTTTTTTTGGGGTATTCGGGTTAGTTTGTGCATATTTTAACTAATCCACGGTGTCCTGAAGTTAGCAGTCGGGTAAACCTTCAGTAACCAACTCTATTATCAAACGAGATAGATTGAATTTTAGATAATACTTCGAGAGTCCTTATTCAATCACTCTTAAGTATTATTTGGTAGAAAACGTTGATTTTNAAGGACAAAACATAATTGCAATGATTGATTTTCAAAAATAAATAAATAAATGAGAAGTGGGAACTCTTTCCCAATTTTCCTTGTATCAATGCTTTCCATGTTTGCTAGTTTTTGCAACACATCCTTATAACATTTTTATAAAAATAAATATAAAAATAAATAAATTTTACGAGAGACTGAACTTGTTGGTAGATCCATGAGCTTAGGAGCAAAATGAGAAGTGCTGGTATGCCCTGGCCTGGTGATCAAGGTGAAGAGAGGTGGAATCTTGCTTGGCAAGCGATAAAAAAGGTATTAATGTCAAGAACCTGTGCTAAATTTTGGATGATAAGCATTTTGAGTCGATGTATGATAGAAAAATTTATGTGGACAATGGCATTGATCCCATTTTGTAAAGATAATGCATCTTCTCTATGCTTTGCAGGTTTGGGCTTCAAAGTGGAATGAAAGAGCATTTATTAGTTGCAGGAAAGCTAATTTACATCATAACAACCTTTGCATGGCTGTACTGATTCAAGAAATTATCTGTGGGGATTATGCTTTTGTTATTCACACAAAGAATCCCTTATCAGGGGATAACTCGGAGATATATACAGAGGTAGTTTTTGCCACTTTTTTGCATTAATGATTGTAGTAGCATCCATCATATTTCTTCTCTTGGCGGAAAAACAGATTGTGAAAGGCTTGGGAGAGACTTTGGTGGGTGCCTATCCTGGTCGAGCTATGAGCTTCATTACCAAAAAGAACAATCTAAAATCTCCTTTTGTAAGGCAGACTTCTCTTCAAACTTACATGAAAAAGCACACAATATCCATCTGAAATTGGCTACTTCCCCCTCCCCGAATATTCCACTAAAGCAATTCATATACCTTCGTTTACATACTACTAAGATAGTATGAATCGTCACTTTCAGGTTACTGGTTATCCAAGCAAGCTTATCGGGTTATACAGCAGGCCATCAATTATATTCAGATCAGACTCAAATGGTGAGGATCTTGAAAAATATGCAGGCGCTGGGCTTTATGACAGGTTGGTTGTGGAGTTACATATTTATTTTGGTGTAAACATGAAACATATATAACATTCATCTTTAAGCCCTGGACTCAGACTAAAAACATTGGAAAGTCATCTAGGTGTTGCATATCTTCCGACTTCGAGGGGTTTAAAGACTTAAGAGTGCATGAATTTGAGCCTACTTTTGATGTTTCAAATTGGGCTAATGGCAGAGTATAACTATTTCATCATGCGGATTTCATTTATATTGGACCTAAGTGGTCGACAAGGTTAATATTAATAGTGGTAATCCTTCGGCATGCAAATGACATTTTACTGCTAGTGAGATCGGATGCAGGATCATCAGCCATCAGTTCCTCTAGAGCATTATATAAACAATCACCGAAGCAAGTTTTCTCCTTAGGCACTTGCAGTAGGCTTCACATACTCTTCCAAAAGTCCTGTCTAATTTGTCGTCCAAACTTATTGCAGTGTAGCAATGGATGAACAGGAGAGAGTGGTGTTGGACTACGCCCGTGACCGACTGATAGTTGATAAAGCTTTCCAACTCTTACTCTTTTCAAGAATTGCCGAGGCAGGGAAAATCATAGAAAACCTTTATAGTTGTGCCCAGGACATTGAAGGAGTGGTAAAAGATGGAGTAATATATGTAGTCCAGGCAAGGCCACAAATCTAGAATAAGCAAGGACATGGTGTCCATTTCGGAACACCTCGGTTCATTGGCACTAGGAAGTTGAAGGGTAAGCTTGTGCAGGCAAAACTTTGTGCTAACTGGGCGAGGCTTGGAGCTCAAACTAGAGGGGCCGCCAATAACTTATGTTGTATAACCTACTTTAAGCTTTTATGAATAAGGTTTATTTTGGAAATAATTCATTTTTTGTCCACCATATTATATAAGTAGTATAAATCTATAATATTTAACAAGATTGATTCTATGGCGTTAGAATGGTAATCCGGTGTTGAGATAGGTATTAAGAGCAATGGAAAAAGATTATCCTATTTTTATTTAATGGTGGACATCCCTTTTGAGTTTGTTTTTTTTTTTTTTTTTTTTTTTTTTTTTTTTTTTTTTTTTTTTTTTTTTTTTTTTTTTTTTTTTTTTTTTTTTTTTTTGGAGTGTTCGGGTTAACTTGTACATATCTTAGCTAATCTACGGTGTCTTAAAATTAACGATTAGATAAACCTTTAGTAACCACTCTTATTATGAAACGAGATAGATTGAATTTTAGATAATACTTCGAGAGTCCTTATTCAATCACTCTTAAGTATTATTTGGTAGAAAATGTTGATTTTACAATTATCAGTGTTGGGACCAACGTAGTAGTTTGAACTTTGAATATTGTATACTTTTGTCTAGAAGACTTAGATAACAGAATTTTTGGTTGGATAAAGTGTAAAGACTCTTTTCTTTGTGGACACCTTTCACTGAGCGGGACCCCAAAAATATAAAAGAAAACCGACTGAGGTAAACATGGAAAATAAAATAATAAATAATTATTGAAAAGGTTTAATACGAATATTCCATTGTTTACATTCCTTGACGTCGTTTTATCCATCATTGAAATGTCTTCTATTGTAATAAGTTGGCTGAGCCGAGGATGTTTGGCAGTTTTGTAAGGTAATTTCGGATCTCCGTTTAACACGTTGGGTCAAATTGGGTTATTCCAATTACCCAACATTGCACCTGAAATTCCACATTTACATAATGTTGGACTATTACTGGCAATTTTTTGATACTGTAATTGAAACGTGCGACAGCTTCGTGTCATCTTGCTAATTGGGTAGGCCCATGGTTACCAGATATTTGTTCAGTTTAATGTTTCATCACGTAAGGGTAAAATGGGTGTTAATGTAATAAGAGGACTCAAATGTGAAGATTTATATTTTATAGTCCATTATCATGCACCCTTATTAGTTTATTTTATTTTATTTTTTTTATTTAATTGAAGATATCCAATTCCAATTGATTAGGTTTAGGTCAACCTGTAAGACTACTTCACATGTCAAATTATCACTCTTATCAATGAGTGGACCGATAAAGCAAACAAATCCACACCCCTTTTACAAGTTACTGATGAGTGAAACTCTAATTAGGTTAAGTAGTAAAAAATAAAAATAATTTATTTTTAACCCTTTTTTACTTCCCCAATAAAAAAAATATTTAGTCTTTTAATTTAACAAGTATAAATCTTAGCAACTAATTTATATCAACATTATTATTATAATATATGTGTGTGTGTTGGGGGCGAGGGTTCCTTTACTCCTCTTTAATACACTTAAAAAATAATATAATTTATATAATTTATATTCAATCTCAACCATTCAAATGTTTTCACCTAACGACTCAAAAATTATTTAAAAAGTTATATATATATATATAAAGGGAGGGATTGGTACCTCTCTTTTTCGCACAAGTTTGTGTCCCTTGATTAAAGCAAAATGAATGGTAAAAGTAAAAATGAGGTGGAAATTTCATAGTTATAAAATTATATTATATTTATTATCTCTCCTGTTTGTTAATACAATCTCTTTCTTCATTTATTATAAAAAAAACCCCTTCTAGTTGAATTTTTAGAAATCTCTCTCCACTTGTTAATTATACAAAATCTCTTCCATTGATTTAAAAGATTTTAATCAACAATTTTTTTCCCTTTTAGTAAGTGAATGACAAATATCCTTGAATATTAATTTGTAAGGTTTTTTTTTTTTTTTTTTTTTTTTTTTTGTATTTTTATTTTTTTTTTTTTTTCATTTTTAATATATTTTAGTCTCTTGCATTGATGATAACATTATATATTAAAGTATGAAGTTTTGCTGAATGAAGATATCAATAAAAAGAGTTCGAGAATATTACAGATTAATAATATAAAAATGATTATTTTTGATAATTTGGTGAGTATAGAACATATATGAAAAAAAAATTAGGAGAGATTTTTTTTTTTTTTTTTTTTTTACAATAGACAAGAAAAAATATTACATTAACAAAAGAAGAGATAATATACATAAATTATTTTATAAATATTAATGTCCAACTCATACCATCTTAGCCTGACCAGTTTATTTGCTTTAATCAAGGGACAAAAACTTGTGTATAGGATCTAATGACCCATAGACCATAGTCATAGATTGTGTAATATTTTTTGTAAAAAAAAAAAAGGTGTTTCCAAAGCTTCTTGCATATATATATTATAGTCAAAAGCTAGCTTAAATTAAAAAATACAATCAAAGATTAAGCATTAGGTAAAAAGCAACATAGATTTTAAAAAAAATTCGTTTTTGCATAATTTGATTGAACTACCCCACCTCACCCAAGTTAAATCGAAAATATAAAATATTGATGTATTTATCAGAATAAAAAAGAAAATTAAAAAAATTGAAGGGCAAATGTGAAACCGCATCTAGAAGAGAGTGTGGTGGCAGTGGGGATGGGGATGGGGAAAGGGTGTCAGCTCTCACATATAACTAATGGATGGTCGGGTATCTTGCTAAAAAATAACCTAAATTTATTATCATAAATTATAACTTACTTATTTCAATACATAAAAATTGAACAAAACAAACAAACAACCCACCTCAACTTAACCTCCTCTTTCTCTCTTCTCTTCCTCTCCCCTTTGCTTTGGGGTTTCGCTTCTCTCTCTCCCCCTTTCTTTTAAATCTCTCGCTTTCTTTAAAATTTCTCTCACAACTTGTATGTGCTGTGGACGCCTCTCAGGTTATCTCTCCATCACACACTCTCTTTCACTATCTCTTCTTTTGATCTACTGTTTGTTTTGTTTTTGTTTTTTTTAATCGATACTTTTTTTGGTTCACTTTTGTTTATTCAAAGGTTTTGATTTTAGGTTTTATTGCTTTTCGATTTTTTGTGCTTTTGTTGCTTTAGTAGCAGTTGAAAATAGATAAAGTTTGAGTTGAGATGATATGACGACCGCACGATCAACTTTGCCGGCCAGGCTTAGGCAGCTTATATCCGGCGAGAGTCCTATCGGTCCCTCTGTTAAACTCGACTCTGAGCCCGTGAGTTGTTTGTTTTATTTGTTTTTATTCAATTATTTACTGTTATTTTTTATATTTTTTTTATGTTTTCTTTGTGATTAGGGTTTTGTTGGAAAGTTTTTAATACTGTTTGGTCAACCCATCGATTAGGGTTTTGTTAACCCTATTATTTCAATGATGATTTGGCTATGTGCCCCAATTTATTATTATTGTTGATTTTCATTTGAGTTATTATTTGGGGCGTGGAATTAGTGAGTATCTTTGGGTTTTATAAGTTAATCTGATTTGGAGGCGACTTGCACTTCATAGTTATTTGTCTATTAAGGATTTAATCCGATTAAGGGGTGGCTTTTGTTTATTCTTAAAGGTTAGGAGTAGCATTGTGAACACTCTACGGTATGGTTTATGATCCATACTTGTGTTTTAATCATTTGGGGACAATGCTAGATTGAGTTAGGTTGGTTATACATCTTTTCTATTACATATTGCTGTGTGATGTTTATTTCTGTTATTTGGATTTTTGCTCTTTTGTCATCCTAAAGTTAGAGCTTCTTAATCTTACCCTTGATTTTTTCATGGCAATGAAGAAAATCATTGAGATTTGAGTTATGTTCCTAGTCATTAAGCCAAATTGTAAATTTTCTTACGATGGTTTCAAGACCTGTTTACATGTGGTAAGAACTTAACATGCAAGGTTTGTTATAGAGGAAAACTTGTTTTTAGTCCAGGACTAGATATAAAAGTAACAATTGAATTTCTTTAGTTCGTTTGGTTGATGAAGGCCTAAATGCATAAACTTAGCCTTCTTTGGCTACTACTTTGGTAGCTCTGATACTTGAACTTCACTCTTGTAATATTAAAAAGTTAACTTATATAATATTACAAGTCAAACGCATCTTGTTAAAATTTTGACTTTATTTTATTTTATTTAATGTACGGAGGTTATGTCATGGAAATGTCCTCAGTACTGGAATAACCCACTTTTTTGATACTTTCTAGAACGGGTTCTTATTTAGGTGCCAAATATTGTACTTCTGGGCTTATGCCTATTGGTCTGCATATTTGCAACATATTTTGTTTTTAGTTTGGGTTGGAGGCTGATTCAGCTCTATTTACGGTAAGTGTAATGAGGATTTTAGGAGGTCTGGCCTTTCTTTGTTACACTTGGTCCAACTGTATATTTGGCATGCAGAGCATACCCCTATCTGCATAGAGTAATAGCAGTGACTCTCATGCTTGTTTGATTTATGTGATTGATGCTAGTATTCCTTGCATTATTTTGACTCTTAATGACTGCATGATTGAGTATAGATATCCTACAATACCGTGGTCAGACAAATACAGCACGGTAAGCACTAGTATAATCATGGAAGATAGGTTTTGAGCAGAAAAATACATTTGCTCTAAACAATGGAATTTTCCCATAAACTCATCAATTAATCTATTAGTGACTTCTCTAACTTCTTGGGTATGCATTTGTCACTGTTTTATCCAATATATTTAATCATTATTATCAGCATCTTACAATAAATAAACCTTTGGTTCAAATTTAACCAAAACGAATGCTCTCTGATTTAAATGCTTTTGTATAGCATGAAAAAATTGAAGCAATAATAGAGAAGGATTAAACAAAGGACAGAGTTGTGATTGTAATATATTGATGTATTTGAATTTGCTGCCATCATCTATTGTGCACACAGATGTAAAATATTGTGGGTAATGCTTTTCTTTTTCCGTTTGCCTGAAAATTGACAGATGTATTGTTAGCACATATTAGAAAATATTGCTCAAAAGAATCAGTACCTTTATCTTTTTCATATATTTTTCCTGCTTTGTGTGGGTGTAAAATCTCATTTTGTAACTCTACGTG